ATGTGTTTCCTAATGCTGCTTCCATCACTGCTCCCAATGAACACATGGCGCGACAGGTAAAATCAGGCCTGAGCCTCGCTGCCCACGAACAATAGTTCCTACCAAATCCTCAGAGCCAACAGGACTGAGCCGGGGGAATCTGTTGGCTCATGGATTCTGTTGGACGTTCCGACAGGAAGTGAGGTGCTTGCTCACTAGCCTGGCGAGTAAGACTGGTTGGCTTAAAAAGGCAGAATGAGTTCCATTGTGTCCATTGTGAGAAGGCAGATTTGTGCCACAAACGAAGCAGTCTAGTGCGCGCTAATGTGGTTGGAAGTCACTTTTTCCATCTTGTGTTGTTAATATCGGTGTTTACAAGTTGAGTCTGTGAAGGAGACAGAGGAGGGCAGATCACGGTCTTGTAATGGCTTGTGGTAATAAAGTGGTGTAGTGGATGTTAAGAAGTTCCACTTGTCCAGTGCATTTCCTTTGGTGTTGCAATGCAGTTCAAATCATCATCAGAACAGTCGACTCACTGGTCGGCAGTGGTCGCACCACTTACCTTACATTAAACAACGAGATTTTAATGTTTTGTGTCCATTCCTGTTCCTTGAGGGCTGGTTTTCTTCCTTGCCTCAGAGCTAATAAAGTGCTAAAGTGATTATGTATTTTTGTAGCCCGGAACACTGGTTCACCCCGGTTCCCTCGACAAAAACGCAGCAGGATTTTTCCATTGGCTTCTGGATTATTGCAGAAAAGAAGCTCTGTGACTAACAAAGGTTTATGATGTTTACACTTTTTATTGATCATCATGATCTTCACGAATTAACACAACTTTTAAGAATTTTTAAGCTGTAAAAAGTTTAAACATAGGCTATAAACAAGACTGACAAATCTCTCAATCTTTATTTACAAAACACTTTCCATGAAAGTTCAAGTTATAATAGTTTGCGAGAGCATGATTATAGACACAATGGCCCTCATTTATCAATCTTGCATAGAAACGGGTGTATATTTTGGTGTAAGATTATGCTTACACTCCTCTCACCGCCTGATTTATGAAGATGTGCGTACCTTTGAAATCCAGGTGTACGAATAAGAATAACACGCCCCTAAATATTCAAGTCTCCGCTCCCCCCACGCCCTTATTTTACGCCATGGACACACGGAAGACGGCAAAGAAGAGAAACTTCTCCGTCGTGGAGCCGAAATGACCTATCACAATGCATTATTTTACAGCACGTTTTTTGAAATTAGCATTCAATTTTGAATCACGTCACATGTATAATAGTGATGATGATGATGTGATGTGAAGTACCATTCATTCACATTAATAATTGCATGTCAATTTGTAGTATTCTTCTTATTATTATGATTTGCATTAATGATGCTTATTGTTATTTAGAAGAAGGATGTCGTTATTATTATTTCTATTATTATCATCATTTAAAAGAAGAAGAATGTATTTTTTATTATTTTGTCAGTCTGAATTATTTTTTTGTCATTGAAAGCCTTTCATTAGGCTACCGAACCCAGTCCGTGCGCACCTGCCGGGGATAATCCTGAAACGTCAGGGTAAAGCGGGCTCGCAACTGAAGGAATATATGCTTACAAATCAAATGCTTTGGTAAAGTCACACAAATTAAACATTGAAGTCCACGTTACACAAAAATAAATACTGAAGTTTATAATTTCTATGTTGTTTTTTTGTTTGTTTGTTTGTTTTACAGTGGGTCATAATATATCATATATCTTTTAGTTTGTCAGTGCGTTTTGTGGTGTTAGGAATTTTTCTGCGCATTTCCTCACTAACTCAAAACGTGCGTACACCACCTCCTGAGCTGGTGTAGGATTCGAGCGTGCCGTACGCCAACGTCCATATTGATAAATCTCAAACTCACCGTGGTTTTGAGTGTACGCAAGGTGTACGCTGGAAATGTGGTGTACGCACTTTTGATAAATGAGGGCCATTGAGTTTTCCTGTTCAGTCTGATCATGTTTAATGTCCCCGATGACCTTTGTATTCCCATTTAGGTAGTTGTGAGCAACCACATTTTTCAAGACAAGTAAACACTACAACAACAAAAATATCATGTAGAGGGATGTATTTTATGATGTAGGATAAAACATGAAAATATCTATCCAAAACCTATTAAAAACCTCATTGACTTCAGGACAATGGAAGTGCTAAAATGCATCATCCCTGCAGCACTCTATTATTAAACACACCTGTACCAGCTAATAAAGGTCTTCAGGATTACAAGCAATTTCTAAAAGGACAGTGACGATTCACTTTTCATTCCATTTACTTTCATTCACAGGTATGCGATACATTTGTGTGCTCAAAGTTTAGCGTGACTGCAGCTTAAAGGGATAGTTCACCCAAAAATGTAAATTAGCCCATGATTTACTCACCCTCAAGTCATCCTAGGTGTATATGACCTTCTTGACCTGGCTCTTACAAGCTTTATAATGGCACTGAATTGCTGTTTCTGTTTTGAAGTCCATAAAAGTGAATCTATCCGTCATATTCGAACTACACACGGCTCCGGGGGGTTAATAAAGGCCTTCTGAAGTGAAGCAATGAGTTTGTGTAAGAAAAATATCCATATTTAAAACTTTATAAAGTAAAATAACTAGCTTCTGGTTTTTAAATATCTGATTATATACGTTTGAAAGCAGAATGTCATATACACCTATGATTTGAGGGTCAACAAATAATGGGATATTTTTTGGGTGAACTATCCCTTTAAACCGAGAGCTAAACACCTCCATGGAGAAGGATTGGACACAATGTGCTAGGCTGGTGTTGTGGATGGTTACCAGGGTATTACTGCATAGTTGCAAAGGTATACTGAATAATTATTAGCACATTAATATGCAACATGGTTTAGTTCTGGAGTATTTTGGGTGGTGGCTCAATGCAACCAAAAGGGCAGATTCAATAATTAACCAAGATTCACTTTGTGATTCCAAAAGTTTTTAAATCGGTGTAGTTTTGAATAAAAACAACAGATATTAGCAGTTATTGATATGATTTGATTTTATCTTAATTTTGTTCTTTTTGGCATTTTAATTTCGATTAGAGTTTGATTTTTTGTTTAAATATATTCATAATTAATAAATGTATATTATTTGAAGTCATCCTTTGCTGCGGGCCCAGCTGCCTAGTTAAGAAACATTGCTCCATATTTAAACATATTTTTTCGTTTTCGGCTGAAAATATGTGGGCTTTACCTAAATTCTTTTCAGACAGATGGCATTCAATGTTTGGCGAGAGACTCTATTATATTGCTCAACTGCACATAGATTTTGTTTAATTTTTGGTTGTCTCAATCCACGACTGGTGGTCTGGTTTAGCCTCAGATAAAATGTTAAGCCTCTGATGGCTATTGTGGGCAAGAAGTGACACATTCCTTCCTTCCCCCTCCATCACTGTTTAGAGGAATAGCTTGAAGGATAATATGAAACCACATTAAAGTGTTTAAAAAGAAACTTTCTACAAAACTAGTTGCTTTGAAACATTATACTTTCTATTATCTTGTTCTGTATTTTTCCACACTAATGCTCTATAATTCTTTGAAAGTTCATTGAAAAAAAAAAAAGAACACACACACCCTGTAATGTAATGGCACATGCATGCATACACCCCTAAAGCTGTTATCCTGTTAAAATGGCATATCTCAGATCTTGTTTTTTGTTTGTTTGTAATTTTGTACGATGTGGTGAGCAACATCTTGATACTCTAGTTCCAGCAACAAAACAAAAAAACTGCTTCTCACACCAGCAGTTGCATTATATTTAGACATTGTGTTTTGAATTTAAGGTTTGTTTGAAGTGTTTGCTTTCAAGACATGCGATTTCCCATGGCCATTTGACAACACGCTTCACAAACTTATTGCTACAGTAAAATGTATTTTGCACAGAAACATTTACACTCAACATTCTTCACAGATCTAACATTGACCTAAATTAATCATGCATTGTACTGTAGAATAGTAAGAGATACAGATACAATTTAGAGGATTGATGCATACAGTAAGTGAGCTCTCCTTTGTCCTCATCTTCCTTCATGCTATGAAACTAGTTTAACTACAGAGTAAAATCTGGAAACATCAATTAAAGGGCTTATGCGCAGCTGTTCAATCACCTAATGGGTCACCATTACCTTTATTATTCAGCAAGAATCATTTTTACCTTTACGGGACTGGACAGTGTAGATGAAACAGGAAGGTAAAGGAGGTAGCGAGGACCAGAATCAGGATATGATACTGTACATGACGGAGACAATCCTGCAGACTCTTCATATCATGTGAACTAACCACTGTGCCATAGCTCTTTTACTTTTTAGATATAAATATCTTAGAAATTGCAGCTTTATCTGATATAGAGCTAGCTCGACCATGCATATGCTCATCTTCAGTTAAGTTTTATGTGTGAATATTTCAGAATGGGGGTCTGATTGAGTCTGCACTTGGGATGTGTACCTGCAATCACAGCTGGGCTCTTCTCCGAAAGCGTGTGCTGCATTTAAGGGGCCGATATCAGATAAACTTGCTCCTTTTCGACTTACTCATTTCTTACTTGCCCTTTATAAGCAATGCCCTAAATACTTCTAGCAAAAGATATTATGTACTCTATGAAGAGAGACCAGCTGCATTGAGTTAAAATGCTGGATTGTGTCGCCACCATTTGGTCAGCAGTGAGTATTACTAGTGGTAATTACAAGTCATTTTATTATATATTGATAATAAAACTATTCTACTAAGACACACAATAATGAAATGCTACTGATGCTTTTCTGCCATAAAAAGTGCATAGTTAAAGTAACAACTTGATATAATTGTAGTTTTTTTGTTTGTTTATTCCCTTATGTACAAACATAATGCTACATTTTCATGTATTCATCTAGCAAACACTTTCATCCAAAGCGACTTACAAATGATGAATACAACATAGCAATACATTTTAAGGAGGCATCTGTATTTGTAACTGCTATATCCATTTTTGTCTCCATCTAGGGGCGACCGGGGGAACATGGGAACCTGGGCATCAGTGGTCCTGAGGGTTTCATTGGGGGCCCGGGGCCAGTTGGGCCCAAAGGAGAAAAGGGCCATGTAGGACGCAAAGGGCCGCCTGGACTAAATGGAGATAAGGTCAGAATACTTTGGCATATGTAGAGGGATTATAATTTATAACAGATATCCGTTTCTGCTGTGCAAAAATCTGTAGTGCACGTGGTGGTACAAAATACAGATCTTTTAACTTTACTCTGATTGGCCATTGAGTTCAAGAAATCAAGATATGTTTTTGATTTGCTAAGCAAAAACACGTTGAAAACAGAAACCTTTGATGCTCTCCAGAGTGCAAACACAAACACGCGCTGGATCGCTTGCCAAATGTTTCGCCAATGTGTCATTATTACAGACAAATCTGATCCTAGACCAGTAGTTATGGAATAATTAGGCAAGCTTACACACCTAAAACTTTGGCTCTTTTGTGCAATAGATGAATGACATTTATTTGTTTTTAGGTATTTTATCTTTAGATATTATTATTTTGCGGGAATCCTGCAAATCATATTCTCCCGTAACCCGCACTCACCCATCAAATCTTGTCCCACCCTGCAAATCGGGTACCGCAGGTCTCAAAATGCATTTTTTTTTTGTCTTTTATTTATTTTTTGACAGGGCCCAATGGGTGTTCCTGGGTTTTCTGGAAATGATGGTGTTCCTGTGAGTATACAGTTCTTGTCCACCATAATTTCACCTTTCTCTGAAAATGGTTGACTAAGCTGTTTTTACCATGCTGTACAGGGACACCCTGGTCAACTGGGGCCCCAGGGACCCCCAGGTCTCGACGGCTGTAACGGTACACGAGGGGACACAGGTGACAGAGCCCGTGATGGTTTTCCTGGTAATCCTGGAGTTCCTGTAAGTTGATGGGCTTTATGTGCATTTCAAGAAGTTTAGGGTTAGGGAGTGAGCATCAAATATATACAGCAGTTTCACTTACTAAATCACCTTATCAAGTGCTAACTCCAGTGTCTATAAAAAATTTTTGACTCAAGTTGCATGCTCTGTTGCCTATTAGTGTAATACTTGTTTTTTATTCTATTTAATAGCTGTGAAAATGATGTCATCATTGATTGTTTGTCTATAACAATATATATACATATATTTTTAAAAATATAGAAAAAATCTATAGTTTTAAGATCTATAGTTTTCATATTTACATGTGTGTTTTTTTTACACTTGATTATAGGGATACGCTGGTCAAAAAGGTCAAAAAGGAGAACCGTATTATATAACTATTCCAAGACCAGTAAGTTACTATCATTCTTCATGAAACTCAAGCAAATCACACATGGCAACATTTTATGTGTACACACTCATATACACATCCACATGTGGCATTTACTGACATTCTTGTTAATAATATGTGTTGTGAGTTCCCTGTAAATCTGGATGTGGAATGCAGATCTGTCTGGGAAAATCCCTTCGTCATTTTCAACACCTCATGCATCTTTTATATTACCTGAGGGTTTTGAATCGTCTCAGGTGTGTGTAGCGCATGTAAGAAGGTTAACACCTTTTTCTGATGTTTTATTAAAAAGATGGGCTGATATGGGTATTGATCACTGATTTTTGAGAGCTGTGTTAAAAAGAGGTGTAGTTCTGATGAATCTAAATCATTATTTACTCACCAACGTGTTTAAAGGTACTCTATGTAACTTGTGACCCTCTTGTGGTTAAACTGCATACATGTTGTAGAGGAATATTGTTTTTGTTGTGCTTCAGCTCTGTGTGAGCCTTTTTGAATGTATGACCCTTTACATTAGATAATTTTTTTTACAATGAACTCTTTAAGAGAGCTGCACATGGCAGTTTATCTGTTAACAGATAAAAATACAACCACATATACAGTAGAAGAATCTGTGATTTGTTAATTCTCTCGACAAATGTACAAAGAAAATATTTCCAATGTTTTCACTGACCAACTTAATTTTATTTTGTTAATATAAACAAGTTTTGATTTTGATGGCTGCAACAAACTTTACAAAAGTTGGGACAGAGACATGTTTACCACTGTTTCATTACTTTTCCTTTTAATTACAAATTTAATCATTTAGGAATTGAGGATACTAATTGTTGCAGTTTTACTAGTGGAATATTTTCCCAATCTTGTCTGATACAAGACAGCCGCTCAACAGTCTGTGGTCATCATTGCCTGATTCTGCTTTTCATGATGGGTCATACATTTTCCATAAGAGACATTTCTGGACTGCAGTAAACAGGCAGGCACATGCCCTCTGTGGTGTAGTGTCTAGAAACCACTCAGTTGTAGCACGTGCAGAATAAGACCTGGCATTATCTTGCTTCCCAGGAAAGATGTCATCTTGATGGCAGTTTATGTCTCTGTACAATCCAAATATACAATCCATGGCACGCTTTAGCGTCAATATAACACGCACTGTTATGGGTAGGTTTCGGTCTGGGGTAGGGTCTGCGTCTCATATTTACGCTAAAGGATGCCATGCGCTTAGTATTTCGACAAAATGTCATATGGCGTCACCTATATGACGCCAAAGGATGAGAACTGGCTCAAATATAATATGCCTCCATGCCAGTACCTTTACCTTCACACAAATGCAAGTCACCCATGCCGCTTGCACTGATGCACCCCATACTAGGACAGATGAAAATCTGGATGGTCCCTTTCGTCTTTGGGGCTGAGAACCCATAGTCTTTTTTTCCCAAAAACAATGTGAAACACTGACTCATCATCGGACCACTGCACACACTTCTAGACCATCTGAGATGAGCTCGGGCCAGAGAACTCGTCTGCATCTCCACATAGAACTGATGTATAGCTTTCTCCCTGTGTAAAAGAGAATCAAATACAATTTTTTGATGCAGCGTCAGACTGTGTTCAGTGAAAATGGTTTTATAAAGTACTCCTGAGCACAAGTGGCTGTATTTAACAGAGTAGCATAGCATGATGGTTTCTCATGCAATGCCGTTGTAGAGTTCAAAGGTCATGCACATCCAACGGTGGTCTCCTGCTATGCCCAACACAGACACACACATGAAACAGGGATAGATCCAAAAGCAGTTTAATGTGTGTCCGTAATCATAAACCAGTCCAGGGAAGGGTCAAAATCTATATCAAGTAACAAGAAACGAAACAAGAACAGGCAAGAACTCAGAAGTGGTGTAACAAATAACAACAGCTGTGTCCGAAATCACCCACTACTCATTATGTAGTGAACTATATAGTGAGCTCGCCATTTTGTAGTGCTGTCCGAATGTATAGTGATGATTATTATACCCTATAAACTCCACTCAATGTATTCCAGAATGCATTTTGAAAAGTAGTGTACAACCGATGGTCACTAACCCAAGCCCTACATACCATCATGCTTTGCGCTGATCGTAAAAATAAGTTATAATCATGTGTGGAGTAGCGCATTATAACAGAAACGGACAGAAATTACTTTTAGTTTTTAAATTTTGGAGAGATAAACTCAATATAATGTAATGTATTTATTTAAAAAAAATCTATTTAACCCAGAGCCGGCTCGGCACCAGCTTGACAGATGATGTAATCAACGGCACCAAAAGAAGATCGAGTAGTGTCTGAGTAGTGTGCTCTACTCCCCCCCTACATTGGGGGTAGGGAGTAGTGGTTTGAGTGGAGATTTCGTACACAGCAAACGACTCCGTAACAAACACTAAACAGGCACAGGGTATATATACACACAGAACATGACTACCATGATGGGGAACAGCTGAGTGCATTGAATAGTGATGAGCGTAGACAAGGATTGTGGGGAATGCAGTACATTGTGACACAGACTGATCCATCTTTGCTTGCAAAGACTGAGAAACTAATTTTTCACCCAAACATGATACCCTCACACCTATTACCAATTCACCTACTCATTGTGGACTGTTTCAAAAGAGTTGGATAATGTAACCTTTATAATCTTTTCACTTTTACTTTGCCTCTGATTCCAACTTTTTTGTAGTGTGTTGCAGCCATCAATATCAAAATACAATTATGTTGGTCAGTTAAACCGGGGAAAACTTTTCTTTGTACTTTTGTCAGTTAAAAATGGTTCAAGAGAATTAACAAATCACAGATTGTGAATTGTATTGCATTTTACAAAATGTCCCAACTTTTCTGGAAATGGGGTTGTACTTACTCACCTGTGGAGTTATAAATAAAAGCACCATCTCTGTGTTGCTTTTACATGATTTCAAATATTTCAAAAAAGCCAAGCCAATGTTAACTCTCGTTTTATTGGGAGCTCTGTCTTGCTCTTTTTTCTATTTATGGTTATGTCGAGACACCCATTGGCGAGTGATGAATGTACTTTATTTCCTCTGAAAACCACCCTGTCAGGTTTAAAATATAAACACTTATAATAAGCATACTGAATCAGGTTAAGACAAAAACATGTTTTGGAAGAAGTATTGATTAAGCATTGAGTAATTGTGTTAATACAACAAAAAAAAGTTATATACCTCAGTGTACATCATAGTGTCACAGTCTGTCGTCCTCACCTGTTTGGTCCCGTCATCTGCACCACACTTCCCCGGATCCTTTTGTTCCTCTCCCGGACTCACTTCCCCAATCAGCCACCTGTTCCTCGTCCTGTCATGATCATTTTCACCTGTGTTCACCCCAATCAACCCTGATTCCTCTGTGTATTTAGTTTCCTCTGTTTCATTCTGTCCTTGTCGGTCAATGTTGAATGTTGCGTTGTATATCCCGTCTTCCTGCCTGTTTCTGGAATTAAATGTCTCTTATCGAGATTCTGATCTCCGCCTGTTCTTCTGCCTGAACCCGCACCGTGACAGATTGACCGACCCAAAAAGAAAAAAAAGAAGAAGAAAAATGGACATTCCCGCAGTGGCTCTGCTCTGCCTTGATCAGGAAGACCGTTCCCTGGAATCCCATACTAGGGATTTTCTGGAGTTGGCGTGCCTCACTCACTATTCTGACCACTCGCTGAGTGAGTTCTACATCGCCAGCCTCAGCGAGCGGTCCCGGGCACGCCTCCCAGGGAACGGTCCAGATGATTTCGCCGCCTGTGTGGAGTGGGTGCTGGTGTGCTGTGAGTCTCCATTCACGGTGGAGGAAGTCACCAGCACCCCTCCAAAGCTCGAGCTCTCCTCTCCGCTGGTTCCGCCCAGCCTCGCCGAGCCCGAGATCTCTTCGCTGGTTCCGTCCAGCCCCATCCAGCCAGAGCCCGAGACCGTCCAGCCAGAGCCAGAGCCCGAGACCGTCCAGCCAGAGCCAGAGCCCGAGACCGTCCAGCCAGAGCCAGAGCCCGAGACCGTCCAGCCAGAGCCAGAGCCCGAGACCGTCCAGCCAGAGCCAGAGCCCGAGACCGTCCAGCCAGAGCCAGAGCCCGAGACCGTCCAGCCAGAGCCCGAGACCGTCCAGCCAGAGCCCGAGACCGTCCAGCCAGAGCCAGAGCCCGAGACCGTCCAGCCAGAGCCAGAGCCCGAGACCGTCCAGCCAGAGCCAGAGCCCGAGACCGTCCAGCCAGAGCCAGAGCCCGAGACCGTCCAGCCAGAGCCCGAGACCGTCCAGCCAGAGCCAGAGCCCGAGACCGTCCAGCCAGAGCCCGAGACCAGGATCCCACCCAGCCTCCCTCTCCCGCCTCCTCTCATCTGTCCTCCCTCTGCTCTCCTGCCCTCCAGCTCCCCTGACCCAGCCTGGTCCTTGGATCCCCGGTCTTCGCTTCACACCTCCTCCTCTGAGACACTTCCTCGGCCCTCTGTCCCATCAGCTCCCCCGTGGCTCCTACCTCCCTCAGCTCCTCCATGGCCCCTCAGTCCACCAGCTCGACCAGGCTCCCTCGACCCTCCGGACTCCCTTCGTTCCCTCGTCATCCTCCCTTCACCTTTGGACTTCCTTCCCTTTGCTCCGCACCGTCAGGTCACCCCCCGGTTCTGTCGGACTTCTCACTCCCTCCAGTCACCCGTCAGCCCTCACTCCCTCTGGCCTCACCGTGTCCCTCTGTGCCCCTGTCGTCACTTCTGTCACCTGAGCCTGCGGTGTCCCTTGCTCCCTCGGTCCCTCCTCAGCACCCATCGTCGTCTGTCCCTCAGCTACACCCTGGTCTCCTCTCCCATCCGCTCCACCCCTGTCAGTCGGCCCCCTGGTGTTGTCAGCCCCACTACCATCGGCTCCACCAGGGGTCCTCCCTCCAGCTGCTCCGCCCTGGTCTCGCCCTCATCATGCTCCGCCCTGGTCTCGCCCTCAGCCTGCTCCGCCCTGGTCTCACCCTCAGCCTGCTCCGCCCTGGTCTCGCCCTCAGCCTGCTCCGCCCTGGCCACGCCCTCAGCCTGCTTTGCCCTGGGGAAGCCCTCAGCCTGCTCCGCCCTGGTCTCACCCTCAGCCTGCTCCGCCCTGGTCTCGCCCTCAGCCTGCTCCGCCCTGGCCACGCCTCAGCCTGCTTTGCCCTGGGGAAGCCCTCAGCCTGCTCCGCCCTGGGGACGCCCTCAGCCTGCTCCGCCCTGGCCACGCCCTCAGTCTGCTCCGCCCTGGCCTCGCCCTCATCCTGCTCCGCCCTGGGGGGCTGTCTCCTCCTGACGACGCCCTCCACAGCCTCCAGGGTGCCCCCCCCCCCCCTCCCCATTGATGTTATGGCGTGAGGCCACGCCTTCCGGGAGGGGGGAGTAATGTCACAGTCTGTCGTCCTCACCTGTTTGGTCCCGTCATCTGCACCACACTTCCCCGGATCCTTTTGTTCCTCTCCCGGACTCACTTCCCCAATCAGCCACCTGTTCCTCGTCCTGTCATGATCATTTTCACCTGTGTTCACCCCAATCAACCCTGATTCCTCTGTGTATTTAGTTTCCTCTGTTTCATTCTGTCCTTGTCGGTCAATGTTGAATGTTGCGTTGTATATCCCGTCTTCCTGCCTGTTTCTGGAATTAAATGTCTCTTATCGAGATTCTGATCTCCGCCTGTTCTTCTGCCTGAACCCGCACCGTGACACATAGTGTACCTTTAATGAATGAGGACTGGAGTTTTCATACTTCAAAAAACAAAACAAAAAACACATAAAACTAGCATTAAAGAGACCCTTTTAACCCTTCTAATGTGTAAAGAGACCATTAATGTTCAGAAAATATTATCAATCTTTCTGAACTTACACTATTCTCATCCAATAGATTGATGAGAAAACAAAAACGTTTTTTAAAGTCATTTTAAAATTTATGAACTTTGCAACATTGACAGTGATTGAGCTAAATGAATTGAATTGAGCTGCATTGAGCTGCTCTGAATTGAGTTGCATAATGACACCATCACCTTTAGTTGAACTGCCTTATTGTTGAAATTGATTATAATTTGATCATAATTAATGACCTTTGCTACATTTACACTGTTATCAAGCTTAATAGAATCACCATTGAACTGATTTGAGGTGAATAATGACAGTACAGTCTTCTGTAGAGCAGATTTATAGCTGAGATTATATTCATTTTAAAATGTCATTTTTTACTGAAAATCTTGACATCCGTTGTAGCTCTTTATGACGTGTTTATGAGAACAGAAGCTAAGTCCAATTCATGAGCGATTGAATATTTTCAATGAATCAGTTGATCCAGTTCACAAAGCTGTTTGAATGATTCATTAATGATTCAGACCAATCCACTTCTCATGTTTAACTGAATCATTGATCTGGTTGTAGTACTGTAAGTAATGGCATACATACTAGGTGAAGATTATCTGTGAATAGCCTTATGACTGTTTGTCACACAAAGATATCACATGGCTTCAGAAAACTTTGAGTATAGCTGATTTTGACTAAAAACCAAATGTTGCCTTTTTGTAACTACAAATTTTTCTAAAATCCTTAGCAATTTTTCACCGACGGCCCTCCAGGTCCAGCAGGACTTGCAGGTCCAATGGGTCCCCAAGGTCCAGATGGATATCCTGTATGTATTACATCTATCTATCTATCTATCTATCTATCTATCTATCTATCTATCTATCTATCTATCTATCTATCTATCTATCTATCTATCTATCTATCTATCTATCTATCTATCTATCTATCTATCTATCTATCTCAGATCTATCTATCTATCTATCTATCGATCGATCGATCGATCGATCGATCGATCGATCGATCGATCGATCGTGCACTATGTACATACCTACCTATTGTATAAAGACTGTAATTTCACCGTTGCCTCCCTCCACCTCCACAGGGTCTACCTGGTCCACCTGGTCCTCCTGGACCTCCAGTAAGTTCAGATGTCTAATGGACAATTTTGAAATTGCATGTTTTATGATATATGATCCTATCATCTTTAACACTTTATCCTCCTGTCAGACAGGGGACAGTGTGCAAACATTTATGTAATTTTGAGAACTTGCCTCGGAATTAAAGTAAACAATGCAATCATAACATAGCTTTATAGTTGTCTGATTTAAGTTGTAAGTATCAACACATTTTATTTAGTGAAAGTGACCTATGACTCCGTAATTGCTAAAATAACCGTACATAAATTTTGCTGAATGTCTCTGCTTATTCTACAGGGAAGTCGAGGTCAAGGATACAAAGGGGAGCCAGGAGAAAAGGTATGTGTTTCATCAACTAGCCAACAACTAAGCAGTTTTCCACACACAATTGCTTTTAGTTTTCTCCATTAGCATAGGTTCAGGTGCTAATTACATCCAATACTGTCAACATATTTGTTCCATGAACACTTAAAGGGATACTCCAGCCAAAAATGAATGAATCATTTACTCACCCTCAAGTTTTTGCAAACCTGTATGAGTTTCTTTCTTCTGTTGAACACAAAGGAAGATATTTTGAAGAATGATTGGAACTTTGGCACCATTGACTTCCATAGTATTTTTTTTTTGTCTTCCTTTGTGTTCAACAGAAGAAAGAAACTCATACAGGTTTGCAACAACTTGAGGGTGAGTAAATGATGACAGAATTTTCCTTTTTGGGTGGAGGATCCCTTTAAGATGTATTTTAGATTTAGATCTCTCTAGCTGAGTCCTGTGTGTTTGTTAATGTTTGTTTGAATGCTTTTATGCTAATATGACTTTTTTGGTGGTTAATTGGCCTAACAACACCATAAACAAACACTTCTCTGAGTGTCTCTGACATTAAAGACGCCCCCAAAACTGGCTTTATGACCACAGGTTTGTGTCTTGTGATGACATATTATATCGAAACAGATCATATCGAATGGCTTGCAGCCTTGTTATTTAAATGGTAATGTGGGTTTAATTATTTCACAGTCAATAACCATAATGTTGTACTTGCTGGCTGTACTTGAGAGTCTGTGTAGTGTAAGATAATTCATCAATATCTTAGCTCTCTTTCTTGGAAAAGAAAGACTGTAAAGCTAAATGCTTATATTTTTTAAATGTGAAAATTCGTCAACATTTAGTGGTACACAAGCATACAGTCGTGCTCAAAAGTTTGCAGAATCTGTAAAATATCATCACACAAAATCATACAAAATCCATGTTATTTTTTTTATTTAGTACTGTCCTGAATGACATTTTATTAATATGTTTACATATAATCCACAAGACAAAAGGAATAGCTGAATTCATAAAAAATGATTCCATTCAAAAGTTTACATACTGCCCAATGTTCTTGAGAAAAATCCTTCAGGTCCTACAAATTCTTCAGTTTTCCAGCATCTTATGCATATTTGAACCATTTCCAGCAGTGACTGTATGATTTTGAGATTCATCTATTCGCACAGAGGACAATTGAGGGACTCAAACGTAACTATTTAAAAAAGGTTTAAATATTCACTGATGCTTCTGAAGGGAGTACATGTTTTTAATTCAGCTATTTTTTTTTCTCTTGTGGACAATATGTAAACATCTTTTATGTAAAATATATTATTCAGGAGGACAGTACTAAATGAAAAATAACATGCATTTTATATGATCCCTCTTATTTTTGTTAAAATTATTAACATTTTCACAGATTCTGCAACTGAAGATGCCCTGAAAGCTAACAGACACAGAATAAAACCCCAAAAACTATCATTTTGATTTCATGGGGTCTTACAATCCATACATTCAAGTACTAAATGTTTTCCCACAAATCTGTACAATAAGACACCACTCTCCGTAACTAGACTGGCACACTCAGAGAATGTTTATAGTGTAACATTTAGTTCAAATATAATTTTAGTCCGCTCGGGAACTGGTTAATAACAAGCTAGCTAAGAAGTTCTTTCTGTCTTTTGGATTGGACATTAAACGATTATACTGCTTTTGTCTTTTGCAAAATAACTCAATGGATCACTCTTTCATTCTTATCATCTGCCTCTAGATTTTCTTGTCTTCCCTCTTTTCCAAATAGTTCTGTACTGCCAGCATGCCTGTCTTGTTTCATTCATGTTTTAACCCAACTTCAGTATGTTTCCACTCATCTCAACACTCACTACACATAGTAAAAGCCATAGTAAATATCCCTTTGCTATGTTCAATGTGGAAAACACAGTTGAATCTTACTAATAAGCATGGCAACACTACAAAGTTTACCTTTACTTTTGAATGGCAATTCACAGATTGCAGAGGTTAAAGAACAGTACCAGCAGTTTCTTCGTAACTTGTAGTCAATGTAAGAGTATTTTCATATATTACTTGAAATCTCTGAGCTGCTATTCAATTTTCCTTTTTTTTTGAGTGATCTGTTCTGGTGCTGGAATCACCTGCTCCAATCTTCTGTGTGCCTTTGTTTCCTTTGGTTGGGACACTTAACCCACAGAACATGAGAAAACAAGGACCAGTTAGTTCTGCAATCAATTGAAATTGTCGAATAGATCAATGAAATAAAATAATAAATAAAGGAGTTATTTAAAGCACCAATAATTTGCATGCATTTGTAGCAGTAACTATAATAAAAGGAGCCCTTAGTCCTCCTTCTCTCACTTTTCATTTCTGTCATTTTCCTATCTTGCTTTCCTGTCTATTCTCTGTAAAAAAAGATATCTTTTTCTTATCATTCCCTTTCTTTAACTGGTTTTCCAGAAAAAATGTAAATGCAAATAAATTTAATAATATATTTTTTTATAGTTTTGATACTTTTAGTTTGTGTAGTGTTGGCACCCTGAGTGCTAGATTAGGCTTTGAAAGGAAAAATAAAGTTCACATCTAGCAAATATACACTACATATTTACAGTCTTTCTCTTTTAGGGAAAATTACCAAAAATTACTCATTCTGCACTACATTTATTTATTTATTTATCTAGTCAACTTGAAGCTATAGTCCACCCAAACATGAATATTTTGTCATCATTTATTCACCCTCATATCTTTCCAAAGCTGTATGAAGAAGATATTTTGAAGAATGTTGACAAACCACTTTCGGTTCCCAACATTCTTCAAAATATGTGTTCTGCAGAAGAGAGTCAGTCATACATGTTTGGAATGACATGAGGATGAGTGTTCATTTTTGGGTGGACTATCACTTTAAAAAAAAAACTTTTGCTGATAATTTACTCACCCCCATGTCATCCAAGATGGCCATGTCTTTCTTTCTTCAGTTGAAAAGAAATTAAGGTTTTTGATGAAAACATTCCAGGATTTTCTCCATATAATGGACTTCAATGGGAACCAAACGGTTCAAGGTCCAAATGAGAGTTTCAGTGCAGCTTCAAAAGGCGACACCAGACGATGAATAAGGGTCTTATCCAGGACCCTCTGAGTCATGACTCGAAAAAAGATTTGTTCATTTTGATGAACGAGTTTCAACCGGAGAGTCACGAACGCTCATCACAGAACAGAGCAAGGCGAGCATTTGTGCTTATGAAACTTCAACTTTTTTATTTATTTTTTAAATGACCGATCATTTCCTTTGATAAGACCCTTATTCGTCGTCTGGTGTCGCCCTTTGAAGCTGCACTAAAACTCTCATTTGGACCTTGAACCGTTTGTTTGCCAATTAAGTCTTTTTCAAAGAGGAAGGAAGGGAAATCGTCCCAAGGAAGATTTTTCAAAGAGAACTATATTTCATTTCTTTAGCACAATAGTTTTGAAATAAATGGGGGGATCTAAATGGGGTAACTAAAACAAAAAAAAATGTGATAATGGGGAGAGAAGTATGAGGATATATATTTTTTAGGGAGGTTGAGACATTTTTACTGGAAAAATAAAGAATTTTTTGTTCTCACACTCTTTCCCTTTGCTTTCACAACTTTCTTGAGACTTTTATGCTCTTTTTTTAATCTGACCATGGCTACTTATCTCTCTCTCTCACACACACACATACACACACTTACACACTCTCTCTCTCTTTGATAAAGTCCTGGGCTCTAATGTGTCAAATGTCTGTGTTGTGGATCTCAGGGGGAAGTTGGTCTACCGGGACCCAGGGGCAATCCGGCCGTTCAGTTTAACGCACCAGCAATAAGCACTATCAACAAAGGAGAGAAGGTAACACACAGGGGAGCGGTGATGCCAACCTAGGGAGGGGCAGATCTAGGGTGAGAGGGATGGATGGTGGGGGAGAGAGGAGCGTTGGAGGGCACTGAACCACATCCGGGGAAATTGCTCCAAGGAAATTGGTCTGGAAGATTCACACAATTACGCGATTGACAATCCCCCATCACACACACACACACACCAACACCAATTATAAAAATGTTTTCACAAAGAATACACATCATAGAGACCTTGACGGTACAAAGGGGGAATGGTTAGTTGCATAATGATTGAATTGGGAGAGATACAGACACATCCATTGTGTTGCATATGTGGTTCATTACCAAAACTCCTTCATTCTTCCTGTGTCCATTCATCTCCTTTTCACCCTGATCACCCCGCTGCTCTGGCAGTGATGTGTCAGTCCACTTAACGTCCCTCTTCAAAACCCCCCCAAAAAATTCTCACCACATGCCACCTCTTCAAAATGCTCCGCCGCTACCGTCTCCAAACAGCCTCCCCATCACACCTCATCTTGCCCATATAAAAAAAAAAATCTCTCTTCCTTGGTTACCGTATCCAGGGAGATGTGGGCCAGCCCGGTGACCCAGGCCTCCCACTGGTCAATGGAGTGGTGGAGCTTGTTGGCTTTCCAAAAGGAGACAAAGGAACTAAGGTTTGTGAGGAAAATGCAGCTGCGAGGATCTAGAACTAGGATGCCATCACTCGACGCCGTCCTCCTCAACTTCTTTTCTAAAGTTTTTTGTCCACTTAGACCTACTCTATACCTCAGGCCTGCTATCCAGGAGGGTTGACGTCCACCTCATGCTTACTGTATAAATCCCTTGTTTCACTCTGTGGGTGAAATTTGAGGGTGGTGTTTGTAAATTCTTCATATTTGGTGGTGATTTCGGTCACATGTGATAAATGATTTGAAGTCTAATATTTCCAAAGGTTCTTTCTTAAATTACGTGTGCATGTTGGATTTGGATGTGTTACGTGGCCATAAAGAGGACGCTTCAGCCACACAAATGTATGAATATCATTACCTAATGAAGTTAATGGCCTGAACAATGAACATCATTTGAAGTGTGGCTCAAGTTTCAAATTAGATTTCTGAAACATTGCCTGCGTTCGAAAGCTTAAAAATGTTGCCTTTGGAGGATGCATTCCAAGTAGGAAGGCATCAAGATACATCCAAGTCCAATATTGGCTTTACTTCCTGTCTCCTGAGATATCGTCATCTGAGTGTTTTTTGAAATAGATGTTTTCTTCGCTGCCTTTGATATCTCACAATCCTATAGGCTACACTTATGTTCAGTCAACATTTTCCACTTTGCTGTTATTTCTAGCAATAAATTAATATTTGAAGAGTTCGGATGCAAAAGCCTCTAAATGCCATTTGAAATTTTCTTCTTTAATGATGATTTTTATCAAACTTGTATATTTATGTTCAGTAATTTCACTTAAATAACAATTAATAGGTAATTATCATTGCCATTTAAGTGAAATCACTGAACTTAAATATACAAGCTTGATAAAAATGATCATTCTAGAAGAAAATTTCAAATGGCACTTAGAGGCTTTTGCATCTGAACTCTTCATTTATTAATTAAATATTTGCTTCGTTATAATCTAAAGATCTCTCTATTTAGTTGTAGATCATTGAACCTTTAGGATTGGGAATAGAAATTGGATACTAGTTTTAAATTATTGATTCCTTTGTGAGCATATGACTTTGCATCCACGAGAGAAATCGTGTGCTTTTTCTGTGCTGTAACCATGGATGTAACTATATTGGGCAACTCTTAAAGCGACAGCAGCTGCAGTCCCTGTACTAATTCTAATCGAACAACAAAAGACAAAGAGAAAATTCACTCGTTCTTGACTGAATAACTTTTGGAACTAAATTTGTACAGTTTCTGTACCTGAATACCTGTAGCCTAAATCTTCAGTCATATCTTTGTTCATTTCTATCTATTTGTTGCGATTGCTAATTTTTATTGCCTTTAATAATGCTTTACACTTATATTAGTAAGGCTAGTTGTTTTCTATGTTATTTCTAAACCACAGGCAGACGTTCCTTGTGTTAGTTTTGTTTACCCTGTTGATTTTTGTTTACGATATTCAGCTACAATTAAATGTTTTGTTTAGCAATAAGACTAAACAATATGAATGTGCATGATAAGGTTTTTTTTTTTTTGTGCATTATTGGAATCGAAATTAAGAATCGATAAGAATCCGAATCGATAAGCAGAATCAAAATCGGAATCATTAAAATTCAAACGATACCCAGCCCTAACCGTTATTCTGCCTCAGGAGTCTGTCTGAAATCACTTCTGTGAGGTACCTTCATGCGAAAAGTCTGCTGCCTGCTAAATGATTGCCTGATAAAGCAGCGAGGCAACAATTCTGCTTAAGCTTTTGAACAATTTTTTTTTTAAATAAATGTTTCCTCCAAAAATATTAAGCAGCACAACATTGATAATAGTAAGAATAATAAGAAATGCAACCCTCATTTTAAATATCAGTATCACTGATATTCCATTAACAGGCAGTCAGCTTGTTAACTTTTTTACATTCCATATTCATTAAAAAAATGTTTTATGGTATTTTCTCACTAAAATACCTGGAGAAAAAAAAAATCTGCAGGAGTAAAACAGCTACACATGGTACATAAATATGATAAACATTTTTTTTTAAAGGCACAAAGTGACGTTGTGAATGCTCAGTCTTCTTTCTTCTCTTTCTCTCTCTCTATCTATCTCAGGGTGAGAAAGGCTTTGCCGGTAATCCAGGTTTTCCTGGGACACCAGGACCACCAGTGAGTAATGAAAGACAGCTTTTTACCCTAATTTATTTTTGATGTGTTGTTATTGAAACTGGCTCACAAATTTGGTATTTTTTTGTGCATATGCAGGGCCCCGGTGGTTTTAGAGGTGAGACTGGCGAAAAGGGAATCCTGGGCTTGCCAGGCTCGAGGGTAGGTCCCGTTACTGCTACATTTTGTGATTCGCCATTGGGTACAATATTTTACACTATTTTACACTTTTGTGTTATGTGTTAATTTATATTTACATCAAATGTAAAATCCTGTCTTTGTTTTGAATCTACCTGAATTTCTTTCTCTGTGTTATTTATTTATGGCAGGGTGCACCTGGTCTGAATGGTCCTCCTGGGCTCCTAGGAAGAAAAGTAAGATATGAAATTCTTCAATCTAAACCATTTCCGTCCTATGGTATATGATTATTACATTACCAACCATCTCCTGTTTCTTCTGTAGGGCTTCATTGGGGATTCAGGTTTTACAGGCCAACCAGGCTTTACTGGCCCAAAAGTAAGAACGCAAAACCAGAAAAATACAACAAATAAGTCACAAACAGAAATATGTTTCACAACAGCATATTTGTAATTTATATTTAGGGTGACAGAGGAGACCCAGGTCCACCTGGACCGATTTTTGGACCAGCAGATGGAATTAAAGGTACTAGGAAATATTTTACACTTTCATGAAACTGCGGTACTGAACTTGCATCTTGTAATCTCTCATGCATACACACACACACTCCTATGTGTGCTGATGTACAGTCTTCAGTGATTATTTAATTTGCTTGTACCTAGGTCCTCAAGGGGATCCCGGCTTTCCTGGTTATCCGGGGCTAACTGGAGATACAGGTTTTCCAGGTTTTCCTGGTCAGCCTGGTCCTCCTGGTGCGCCTGGTTTTAACACAGGTACTAGTGACATTCATTTTAAAGAGCCCCTATCATAGCATTTGAAATGTTCCTATTTTTGTTTTGGGAGTTCCCAAAAACAGTTTAACGTGCATGCAAGGATAAAAAAAAACACTTTATTTGTCTTATAATATGCATTTATTTTTACCCGATTTGCTCAACGACTCCCAAATGAGTCGTTCGACGATTCATTTTCCCAAACACCTCCTTTGAGTGACGCGAATCTGCGGCGATTGGTCAAATGACCCAGTCAGTTGTTATTGGTAAACTGTAGGCAGAGACTGTCGGCAACGGAACGCCCATAACCAGGATTATAGCTTGTCAAGTGTTGAAAATTGTATAGACCATTTCACAAGATGTAAACAACACTGGTCCAGAAGCACTTCCTGTTTCAGTTTTTTAACACTACATAAAGGCTGGGATAAAATACAACCAACAGAACATTTAAAACTGAATCAAAAAGTTAAACAAACATCTTTAAGATGTTTTCTTTACATGTGAAATAAAGAAAACAGTTACAAACTGAAACAGGAAGTGTTTCTGGACCAGTGTTGTTTACATCTTGTGAAATGGTCTATATAGTGTTTGAACAAACGTGTCAGAAAAAGGGCACTTTCCACACGGTCCCTTACTCGTGTCTCCGTCAAGAGCGAGCTTTCCCGGCGCAACTCACATTTCGGCGGCGGCTTTTGAGGGGCAGTGCTTATTATATAGAGCGAAGTCATATTTGGCTAAGTCGTTAAGGAGGTAATTGCCATTTGTCAATGAATGTCTGGTGAATATCAAAAACAAAACTAACTTTACCCCGCTTAGAAGCTGCGTGGAGTGTACACAACACAACACACACAACACAATATAACTATATTGTGCATGCTACAGAAATCATAACAGCAAACATTATTAATAATACTTACAGATTGTGATTCGGAGGAGGACGAAGCTGATCCATATACACTGGATACTGAGCCCTCCTTCGGGAACAACCGGCTTGCGAATCCACATTTGAATTCATTTATGTTTTTGAATGATTCGTCATTAAAATGATGAGAACACAAGGTTCGGGCTATACTGATGTGTTATCGTTGCAAATATGAACTCTGACCACTGATTCTTCACATGCTCGTCCCTGGGCAATGAAAACAAAGTGGCTGAACTGTCTTTGCAATGTAGAACACAGCGTCTTCTCGACATGACGCTATTCAGCTGAAGTTTTTGAATTTGTTCAAGACTTCAAGTTTACACTCCCGTCTGTGCACGCAGTTATTGGGTGCGGCCAATATGCCAATGTTTCGCATCTACGTCACTAGGAAACAGCTAATGACTCGTTTCAAAACCAATTCATTTCATAGACTCAGAGTCGACTCTCACTTTTGAAAGACAATAACTTTATATACGGTGCACTTTCAGATATAAATCTTTGCAGGATGTTTTCATTCCCTTGGTGCTATTTTGGTGCTACTACATGAAAAGTCATTTTCAAAAATCCATGATAGGTGCTCTTTAATGTTTTATGACTGCAATCATGCAGCTTGTTGAGGAGAATGTGCTATGACTTTTCTAAGGGATCAGACCTAAAATTTTTGTCTTTAGGTCAAAAACAATCTCAAAGAATTACAGTACAGGAGGGATCTGAGTCATATCCAATTACCATATTATCTGAACACCCGTTCAATCACAAGGGATGGAAATAAGAGAAATGTAACAATTATTTTAGTATTTTTGAGGAAGAAATATTTTTGGGGAAATATGCAACAACACTGTTAAATAATGACAAATTTCGATAATAAATTGAAATCAATACTTAAGGTGTTTATGCAGACTTTTTAATGGCTTTTTTCAGAGCTCATGATAGGCATTTGTTCAGGAATGAGTTTTACTACACTAATCACACTGTATGGTCTCAATTCATTAAAAAATAAACCTACCGTATCGACTTCATAGCAGCATGCTAACAATCATTCAGCAATACTCTGGCAACCATCCACAACACTAATGTCCTGGCAGTGAGTTTTGCAGAATTTACTGCATATGTCATTATTATTTTAACTGTTAATCTGTGATGTCTATTCAGGTCGTCCTGGCAACCCTGGGTTCCCTGGTAGTCGTGGACCCAAAGGACAGAGGGGAAACCCAGGTCGGGATTCTTATGGAGCTGAAGGTCGTCCTGGAAATCAGGGCCTTTCTGGAGTTCCTGGTCTCCCTGGACCACCGGGAAGTTCATGTAAGCTTTTGCATCTGATGGTCATCGTCTTTTTAATTGCAAGTAACCTAAAAATATGCTTCAGGTCATAACATCTTACTTTACTTTACTTAAAGATCATATACATCTCTAAGTTAGATCACACCAGCAAAAGTCATTATTGTTTAGATGAAGTATTGTTTAGATGAAGTAGATCTAGAAACACTTCCCTTGAGTTAGAAGTTGCAGGTTACCACTTTTATAGTAACCACTTTTTTATAGTAACAGGAATGGAATAAATGTAGATTATGAGATAAGCTGATCGTTGCTTTTTTATATTATTATTATTATTATTTTTTAGTAAACTCGCTCTCTCCCGCAATAACTGGTTTTCCCGGGCGGCCTGGTCCAAGAGGACCTGCTGGAGAAAGAGGCTATGAAGGGTTTAAAGGTAAGGAACTCTGTTGTAGAACTGAAATGAGAAGTATTGAGTTTAAATTAGAAAATAATAAAAATGGCACACATGGACTTTTTCCTTACTTGACCCTGTACCCCTGCAGGTGAAAATGGTGACTGCAACTGTTTGGGTGGAGGAACGACGGGTGCACAGGGACGTCAAGGGCCTCCAGGGCCCTCAGGTCCCCGTGGAGTTAATGGTGTGAAGGGAGAATTTGGTGACCAAGGTTTCCCAGGATCCCGTGGACCACAGGGTCTTGATGTAAGAGACTGATAAAAAAAAAAATATATATATATTATATATATATATATATATATAGTGTATATATTATGCTAAACAAAAAAAAGTGAAATTTGTGTTGTATTTATCGATCATGTAATCACAAAAAACTGGAGGGACTACTTTGAGGTTTTTATTGTCTTATTGATCCCTGTGAGTAAAATTAGGGCTATCTGGAAACATCCTAAATATTGCTTAATTTTAATTGAGTCTTGCTTTGTTTTAGGGTCGTGTGGGGGACAGAGGCTTTGATGGGCGTAAAGGAGAGAAAGGTAATTCTTTCTTTCCCCAAGGTAGAGGACAAAAAGGTGATTTGGGTCAACAGGGTCTTTCTGGGCCACCTGGAGCAACCGGCAACCCCGGAAGGGATGGATCTCCTGGCTTCCCTGGAAAACCAGGTCCACCTGTGAGTAGATAGGCAAATTTTCCTTTTCCTTTCTATCATTTCATTTAATCAGCTTTGTTGTTACAGTCAAAGAAGATGTGTGGCCCTACTCAACACCTGTAACTGCTTATACAATTATTGCTTATTGTAATAGTGCTTCTAGTATAACTTTTAACCTTTAACATCTACATTTTTTTACATTTCTAAATTTCTAAGTTCTTTCTCTACAGGGGGACTCTGGTTTTGGGGTGACTGGAGATAAAGGTTTTCCTGGTATCCCAGGATCCAAAGGTCGGCCTGGTTCCAGTGGCGATCCTGGTATTGGCTATCCTGGTGTAGCTGGGATCAAAGGGTCACAAGGTGATCCTGGATTCAATGGTCTTCCTGGAACACCTGGACTTCCAGGTTCTCCAGGTAAGTAGAAAAAAAAACACTCAAAAACACAGTAACATTTTACAATAATTATACAGAAATATTGTATTATATACAAATTAAATTATTCTGCTTACCTGACATTATTTCTACTTTTTTATCTCAATATTATTATTATTGAATAATAAGATCACATACAATGCATGTGATACATTTTTTAAAGTATGTTCTATGTTGCTTAAATATTCACAAATAGTGAGTTGGATATACACAAATGAATGTAAACGGATGGATTAAAGAGCATTTTAGTCTATATAAACAGTTAATATAAACAGGTATATATTGAATAGAGGCATAAAACAGTGTTACTGTTTTTATGTATATAAGTAGGCTAATTAAACCTATGTAGTTATTGATGATGCACAAATACTGTTTAATGTTGAGTATGTATTAGCCAATACAATTGAAATTTATCATACGATTTCATAAGACCTCCTCGTTTTTATCACTTTTTAAATAAATTTGGCATATTTAGCTTGTTTTGTGGGTTTACGTTGCTTAGTCTATTCAGTACAGTGGTTTAAAATGGGATTTTGCTCATTTTTAACCCAGTCTTACACTTAAAGGGATACTCCACCCAAAAAGGAAAATTCTGTTATCATTTACTCACCCTCAAGTTGTTGCAAACCTGTATGAGTTTTTTTCTTCTGTTTAACACAAAGGAAGATATTTTGAAGAATGATTGGAACTTTGGCACCATAGTATTTGTTTTTTCTACTATGGAAGTCAATAGTGCCAAACAACTGTTTGGTTCCAGTCGTTCTTCAAAATATCGTCCTTTGTGTTCAGCAAACGAAAGAAACTCATACAGGTTTGCAACAACTTGAGGGTGAGTAAATTATGACAGAATTTTCATTTTTTTTGGTGGAGTATCCCTTTAAAGGAGAACTCTGGCGCAAAATGAACACATTGGTACCTAGTCAATCGTTCTCTGAGATTTGTTTTCATGATAATTAAATGTAAAGAGTTTTATCTCTAAAAACTGTTTAGATTATAACGCTAGTATATGGGGGCATATAAAAGGAAATCGCTAGTTTATACCACTAACAAGGCTCAAAATGGCCCCACAATAACACAGTAACATAATGAGGGTCCCTGCATGCAAAACGATGCATTGAGAACTTTGTAAGAGTACAGACCGTTTAATTAAAAGATATTTTATAAAGACAGTCCACTTCGTGCATACAGGCAGGATTCATCTTTGGAAAACAGTCTCGATGTTCGTGGTTCGACTTATCAAGACTGTTTTCCAAAGATGGCTCCTGCCTGTATGCACAAAGTGAACTGTCTTTATAAAATATCTTCTGTACACTTACACAGTTCTGAATGCTTCGTTTTACATGTAGGGACCTTCATTATGTTACTGTGTCAGTGTGGGGCTATTTTGAGCCTTGTTAGTGGTATTAACTACCGATTTTTATTTTTCATTACACGATGCCCTATATACTCTACTAGCGTTATACGCTAAACAGTTTTTAGAGATAAAACTCTTTACATTCGATTATCATGCAAACAAAATTAAAGTTCTCCTTTAATTTAGTTAGATTGCCATGATCTTTCCTCATTTCAGTTAATTGAGAAATATTCAGTGTTTTTTTTTTTTTTTCCTGTAGGTATCCTGAATTGCATAATTGAATAGTATAAGATCAGCTAGGTTGAAAGAGCTTCAGTTTAGAGGTTGCTACATTTCATCTTGACAAGCATTCATCTTGTCAAGCATTGGATGTGTGCGAGTGTGAATGGGTGTGCAAATAAATCTTGATATTTTGCCTGTGCCTAACATTTTTACCTCTTTGCAAGCCATTCCATTCGGAGAGAAATTGAGTGAATGCAATTAAATCATAAGTCTTAACATCCATGTCTTAATCCCCAAATCCTTTCACCTCTTGCATGCTCTCCATCTCTCTCTCTTAGCAATGGAATGGCTTTGACACAGCCATGCACATGTTCCCTTTTGATTTCTTTATTTGCACTGCTTTAACCGAATGTGCTGGAATATTTGAATGAGCTTTATATTTCTCTACTAAAGGTCCAATCATTTTCATGCTTGTGCATTTGATTTCTTTTTGATGCTGCCCGAATGAACTGATTCATCAATCGATTGATTGACAGCTTCTCTTGCAATCTCTCTTGCCCTTGCATGTTGTCTGACTAGGTGACAGCTGTGGGCAGGCGGGGCTTAATGATGCCTCTTTGGAACAGGGAGGTGAGATGCGAAGCCCAGAGCTGCAGCCAGTATAAAACAAATCATTTTCCAATGGCCTGACTGTACCAGACAGCTTAACTGTCGTGTCCATGAAATCTGACCATACTTTCATTATGACTTTCCTATTAGTTGAGGTGTCTAATTCAGTTAGACGCTTGACATTCTGGAAAAGTAGTAGTTGCCATATAACAGCCATGTGCATGTTATTAGCCCTAATATGCTGGGTGAGGTTATTTATTTTTTTAGTTATGAAACATTTCTTATATTTCGAAGAGCCTGATACACCATCAAAGGCGTATTACTCAAATTCACATTTCATACTCACTGTAGTGAAATTAGTACCTAGTTCAGCTTCATCAAAGACACCCATGACAATTACTATCAATTACTATTTAAAGATTTTTGACTTATAACTCAGTTTGTAAAAAAAACTACTGTACATCCACTTATATAAAACAATACAAGTCTATGCAGCAATGCATTGGAGAACTAAAATACACACTGTTAACTGTTTTTAGGACCCTTGAGGAATAAAATCAAATAAAACCTGGTCACTTACCATGTAAAGTTATTTACAATATTTCCTGTTATGACCATGTAAAGCCAATAAACACTTTTACATCCTACACACAAAGAGACAAATCAACCTACAGCCTGATTTGGATACCTTTACAGCTAAAATACAGAAGAATTAATATAAGCGTTTTAACAATAAAATTTCTGTTTTTAAAATTGAAATCCTTTTCTCCAAACCTTCCAATTGAAATGCCCTCCACAATATTAAAGTGTGCTCCTATTTGTCAGTCAGTTATACATGCTTTTGATCTCATTGTCTGTACAGTTGAACAAAATGAAATTGTAATGCTGTAAATACATTTCCCCCTGTCCTTTTTCTTGTCAGCCAACATTCAATGATCTTAGATATTTAGAGACATGTTTTTAAACTAACAATTAACACAAACACCCACCTTTAATTCTGGCTTTTTAGAGCAGAATACCTTTATACAGTTTGTCATGTTTAGATGTAAGGCGGTGTGTGTGTGTGTGTGTGTGTGTGTGTGTGTGTGTGTGTGTGTGTGTGTGTGTGTGTGTGTGTGTGTGTGTGTGTGTGTGTGTGTGTGTGTGTGTGTGTGTGTGTGTGTGTGTGGAATGGGTCATCATTGACATTTTTATATGATTTTGACAATGAAATGGATGTCAACAGGAACACCACTGCCCTGTAGGATTCCTGGTGAACAAGGAGACCCAGGATTCTCCGGACGTCCTGGGGTGCCAGGTAATTGAATTTCTAAAAGTATATGAAAGTTGAAAATGGTAGTATTTGGATTATAAAGAGTTATTTTCACATTGTTCAAACATGTTCTTTTGCACATCTGTGTTCATGTATATGTAAGGGTCAAAGGGTCAGCCTGGTTCCCCAGGAGCAAGTGGGCGCCCAGGGTTTGATGGGCCTAAAGGTGAGAGAGGAGATCCAGGTTCTGGAGGTCAACCAGGACCTCAGGGTAAGATTACACCCTTAAATGTGAATGGGTGCTTCATTTAACCACAAATCTTACACATCATAATTAGTCAACTTGCTTAGCCATACATTTCGAGGTATAATTGCATTATAGATGTCTAACTCTAACTTGTGGTTAGGTTTCCCGGGAATCAGAGGAGATGCAGGTTTACCAGGAACAACAAATACTGGCTTACCAGGATCTCCAGGAAGAAATGGTTTTCCGGGTGTGCCAGGAGCTAAGGGAGAACCTGGTGTGGTGCTTGGGGCCAGCCCTGGAGGTCCAGGATTTCCAGGGAGACCAGGAGAGCCAGGAGACAAGGGTCCGCCTGGGACACCTGGTTTACCTGGGAGGCCTGGTAAGTTTGATCAGATGTTTTTAGGTAGTTCCTCTCAACATCATTATCACCAGTCACATGGATATCAAGCATTAGTACTAATGCATTCCTCCTTAGGTAATGATGGACGCAGTGGTTTTCCTGGTGTAAAGGGTGAGCGAGGTTTGGATGGAAATCCTGGTCCAGTAGGTCCCATAGGTCCACCAGGAGAAATCCCTCCCGGGGGTATCCCTGGTCCCAGAGGTCCAGCTGGAGCTAAAGGATTTAATGGACCTCCAGGTAATAAAATGAATTGTCATAAAGCACACATTTTGGTGTTTTGTCTAATAAAATGAGTGAGTATTTGTTCAACAAGAGCTGCTCAGATCCTAGCGTAAACTCTACCTTGAGCTCCATAATAATCGATTTTGTCACTAGGACCTTTTACATTTAATTTTTTGGAAGTTCTACCCAGCTTCTAAGACTTAAAGCTATGGTATACGATGTTAAAAATCGGTCGAGACGGTAGGGAAGTTTTAAAAAACTCATCCCGCCCCTCCACACACCCCCCCCTCCCCTCTGTGCTACCTGATCCCTGACGTGTGTCACATTTGAGTTCACGTCAACGCAAGACGTCAACACAAGATTAGCAACACATGAAATGTTCTAAACTCCCCACCACCATTATAATACTACTAGTATTGCTAAGGTTTTCAGTGATTGTTATTGCAGCACGCAGCGCATCTTGTTCAAATTCCGATCGGCTCAAACAGAAACCTCGAACAAGAAATATAATTACTTTGACCCGTGATAGGCGATGCTAAACTGCTAACATTCCAATGCCGACCGGCAGCATGAGCAAGTTGTCAAACTGATAAAAAGCCATGTAACATGTAACACCATAAAAGAATAAATAAATGTTTACCTGCTCAACAAAAAGTCATCCGTGTCAGCGTCGTTTTCAGTCCCAGATCTCCCTGAAGCTTTCTCCAACGGTCAATGAAGGACGCTATATTTATCCTACTTAGAGTCCGGCGTTCTTCACATTTCTATTTAATCTCTGATCTTTCCTCCACAGACTTTCTCTTTCATCCAAACTTTACAGTAGGGGCAAGCAGGGGCCGCTTGCTGTTGTCGTTTATATTTTTATCCATTGCTTTATCCATTGCTGATCTGATGCTACTAGCTAGCTACCATAGACAGTCTGTCAGCTGTATGCTCGCGCACGGAGGGGGGCGGGGGCGGGTGCGGTTGGGTTGGAGACGGAGTTTCAAGTGGAGCTGGTGATTGGATGAGAGCAGTTGACCAATATAAGCTGTGCGGCCGCACAGCTTACATTGGTCAACTTTTCCGCGGCTGTACAGCCAACAGAGTGAATGGATTTTTTTCATTCTTTTTTCTATTCATATTGTTAGGATTGTACTATATAACCATAACCAGCATCTAAACGAGGATATTAATAATGAACAATCTTTGAAATCGTATACCCTAGCTTTAAGCCTGAGGAATCTCTTCTACAATCTATATTATACACCACTAATTACTTGGGAAGTTAAGGTTTGAGAAACTTGTTTTCTTGTGAGCATTGTGTGAACTACTGGAGATTTCAGTTGTGGTAAATATTTCACTGTTGGCTCGTTCTCTTCTTATCAGTCTACGTCAGCCTGTGTTTACTGATCTTCTTCTCAAAAAATATCTGTTTTCATTATTCTTTTCTTTATGGTCATCCTCCACTCTTTCTCTTTTTCCGTCATCATCATTTCCAACTTCCCGTCCTTCCATTTGTGGTGTCACCCTCTTCTATTATTGGTGTTGGGTCACCTCACTAGGCTGCCAAGGTGAGAAATATTGTCCTCCCTGATGCCCGGCAATATAGTGTTGATGTTTATCTAACACACAATTCGCACTCTTGCCTTGCTTCCTTATAACGCACTTGTCTTTCCTTGTGTTTTCAGTCCTCCCAACTAAGGCAATGAGTGCAGGGGAGCATGCATTAACTTTTTTTTTTCAGCCAAAAAATAAAATTCTACCATTATTCACTCTTCCTCATTTCTTTCCAAACCGATAAGGATTTCATTCATCTTCGTAAGAAAAATTAAGATATTTTTTAATCGAACCTGAGAGATTTCTCCTTGTCTCTCCATTGACACTAAGACTTTAAAGAGACATGATCCCTTTATGATTGAATTTAGACTTTTATTCAGATAATACCATTGATCAATGAGGTTTGTTATCGCACATCAATAAAGTATGGTCGAGCTTCCGTTTACCATATTGGATGTGCTCTATGTATGTGCGTTGACCATTGTTTATATGCGAATAAAAGTCTAAGTTAAATCTGTTCATCATATAAAGTGATCTTTTCTCTTCAGAAGTCTTTGATTAAACTTCTTGATTCAAAGTTAATAGACTTTCAATAGAGGGACTGAAATCTCTCAGGTTCCTTTGAAAATATATACATTTGTGTTTGAAGATGATTCAAACTAATGAATCTTGATGATTTATGAGTTTGGAACGGCATGAGGGTGAGTACAGTATATGACAGAGTTTTGGGGTGAACTATCTATCCCATTAGGGTTACAGATCTTTAAGCCTCAATGTCAAGCTAATAGATTTGTCTGTTTATAGTGATAATGTAGAATTCATTTTTCTAATTTCTTAGATCAAACAAGAAAGTTTATCCATGGTCTTTTTATCAATGCAATGGTTTAAACTGCACTTGTACATCTTTTTGTGTGTTTGTGTACCAGCTGGCATCACATAGTCTACTCACACTTAGGCCATGTCCACACTAATAAGTTTTCGTTTGAAAACGTATATTTTTCTCTCCGTTTTGGCCTTCCGTCCACACTGAGATGCCGTTTTAAGTCAACAAAAACGTATCGTTTGGAAAACGCTCTCCAAAGTGGATAAATTTGAAAACGCCGTTTTCGCGTTGTAGTGTGGACAGTGAAACCGGAGGTATTTCAAGACGATGATGTAAGTTTAGTCATGTGATCCATGTAGTACCAATAGATATTCATGTTTATCAGTATTGTGCCTGTTATGTGTTAATCATTTTTACACTATTGCTAAAATATGTTACTTTCTATGTTACTTAATATGTGCTATTCTTCATAGCACAGTACTGCAAAGATGACAGATAATGTAGCTTACTCACATTTGCTGTCCTGCGGCAAAACATGAGAGCAGTTGCGTTTTAGACCAAACATATGGTGACTGAATGCGACCTGGACGCATCCGTGATGGTGAGATATTTTGTCAAATAAAATTACATTCTTATTTATTTTCCCATCTGTATCATCTAAGTGAGCTTTTGTGAAGTTTCACGCATGCGCAGTAAAGTGAATTTAGAAGTTTCTCATCCACACTGAAACGTCGGAAAACGCCTGAAAACGCTAGTGTGGACGGAGAGTGTTTTTAAACGAAAACCCCGTTTTCAAATCTATCCGGATTAATGTGGACGTAGCCTTAAAAGATGGCCTTAAACTTGTGTGTTTAAGTACTAATCTTCAGGTTCACTGAATTTGAGCAACGCCACCTAACAATCTAGCCTCAGAACTTGATACGCTGCTATAACTCTGATGTGCTTGTGTGCCTTTAACCACAAACACACCTTCTGATATAACAACAGCATCTTTAGTTAGCATTGAAAGTAATGTTTCATGTTTCAGCTGTTAGTAATGTCTAGAATTAGCCTTTACTTTGAACTGACATTTCCAAAACTGTGAAATACATTATATGTTCAACCAGTACAACAAACACAGGTTCGCCCACTTACACAGAAATAGGATCTATAATTTTTATTTTTAAAATAAAATTAAATAAAATGTATTTTAACAGATAGAAACATAATATCAACAACAACAGAAAAACACATTATATAAAGGTTGTAAATTGATTACCATTTTAACTAATGAAATAAGTATTTGACCCCCTACCAACCAGCAAGAATTCTGCCTCCCACTGATTGGTTATGTACCCATGTGGAACACAGATTAGTCCCCATCACGTTAAGAAAGTACTCCTAATGTCGACTCATAATGTGTATAAAAGGCACCCGTCCACAGAATCTGTATCTTCCATTCCAACCTCTCCACCACCATGATGAGCAATACCAAAGAGCTGTCAAAGGCAATCATACGCCAGATTGTAGACCCACACAAGGCTGGAATGGGCTACAAGACCATCAGCAAGAAGCTTGGTGAGAAGGAGACACCTGTTGGTGCCATTATTAGGAAATAGAAGAAATACAAAATAAGCATCAATCACTCTCGTTCTGGAGCTCCATTCAAGATCTGGCCTCATGGGCTACGGATGATCTTGAGAAAGGTGAGGGATCAGCCCAGAACTACATGGTAGGACCTCGTAATGATTTCAAGGCAGTTGGGACCACAGTCACCAAGCAAACCATTGGTAACACACTATGCCACAATGGATTGAAATCCAAGAAGGCACATATACATGCCCGTCTAAAGTTTGCCAACGAACATGTAACATCTTCAGAGAAGTCTTGGGAGAAAGTGCTGAGGTCAGATGCAGAGAAATGCTGACTACGACCCCATCAACAGGTGGAAACATTATGCATTTGGGCTATTTCTCTGCTAAGGGTACAGGACAAATTCACTGTATTGAGGGGCCAATGGACGGGTTCATGTACTGTCAGATCTTGGACGAGAACCTCCCTCCCTCAGCCACAACACTCAAGATGGGTCGTGGATGGGTCTTCCAGCATGACAATGACATGCTGCCCAGGCAACAAAGGAGTGGCTTAAGTAGAAGCCCCTTAAAGGAACACTCCGACTTTTTGGGACTTTAGCCTATTCACCTTATCCCCCAGAGTTAGATAAGTCCATACATACCTTTTTCATCTCCGTGCGTGCTATAAGTCTGTTTGACGCACCCACCGCTAGCCTAGCTTAGCACAAAGACTCGATGTGACTGGTTGCAGCTTTCATACTGATCCAAATGAGTGGCAAAATAACGCAAACGTTTTCCTATTTACATGTTGTGATTTGTATAGTCACATAATGTACAAATAACAAAGTCAAATGAGACACAGACATCTTTTAACCGTATAAAACCTGGGAACTATTCTCTGAAGGCGAAGCACTGCTACTTTGACGGCGTAATAACCGCATCACCGGAGACACGCCGTGGTGAGGAGCGGAGAGTTCGCTCGGTGTTTGGGTAATAGAGTCAGCAATTTATAAATAGTAAAAGCGTAGTTTAGAGTCATGGGTTTTCGCTCTATTGTAAATAGCTGCGACTGTAAACAGGGGAGGTAATACCATGTTTCACAGAATTCCAACTAAAAACGCTGACTGGATGAAGAAATGGCTAACTTACTCTGGATATTTATCCAAACACACCTAAGATTATCAAGGGACATTATGTTTGCTCGGTACATTTCAATGAGGACGACTATTTTGAAAAAATGGAATTTGCCACACGGACCATAATGTGCTGAAGGATACGGCCATCCCATGGATAGCACAGACAGGACAAGTGGATCACCTGCGACCTGCGGCTGAGGTAAGTGTTCCGTTATGTTTTTAGATGACCTACTGTAACAGTGCCTTTAGCAAGATCTAATGTAACGTTAGTGACACTATTATATGATTAGGGTATGAATATGTTTTTATCTTGATGCGGTGCGGACGCGCTTGGGAAAAAAAACTTGAACTTGCACCCTGCGCGCGGCGCGCCTAGTAGCCTAAATTTGAAATAACCATGGAAATAACGAACTTGAGCGTGCAAAAGGGTACGATAGGCTGTGAGTTCATTGTGCAAAAACAATTTGTGCTATTACTTTCCCCTTATTCTATCCTATAGTAATGCAATACTGTATATTATATAGGCAAATGTATTTACTGTTGAATACATTTGGTTCAGCTAATAAATTGCATTTAAAATATATTGATTCCTGTAATAATAATTATTTATTCATGTGATATTTATAAATCTGGGTGCGTTTTTGGTTGGAAATCAATGAAACATGGTACTGTATTACCTGGTCTCCCCTGTTTATTGTCACAGCTCATACAATAAAGCAAACACCCATAATAAACTTTGCTTTTCTATCTAACGTTAGTAATTGCTGACTCTTTATTCCAACGCTGAGCGAAGCGAACTCTCTGCTCCTCGTCACGGTGCGTCTCAGGTGATTGTTATCACTCTGCCCAAGTAGCAGTACTTCCCCTTCAGAAAATATAGTATTTATACGGTCAAAAGATGTCTGTGTCTCATATGGCCTTGATATTTGCACACTCTGTGACTATACAAACCACAACATGTAAATAGGAAAACGTTTGCGTTATATTGTCACTCATTTGGATTAGTATGAAAGCTGCAACCATTCACATCCAGTCTTTGTGCTAAGCTAGGCTAGCGGTGGGTGCGTCAAACAGACTTATAGCACGCACGGAGATGAAAAAGGTATGGACTTATATAACTCTGGGGGGTAAGGTGAATAGGCTAAAGTCCCAAAAAGTCGGAGTGTTCCTTTAAGGTCATGGAGTGGCCTAGCCAGTGTCCAGACCTACTATGTCCATAATCCTACTGACAATCTGTGGAGGGAACTTCGAATTGCTAAGCGACAGCCAAGAAACCTTAAGGATTGAGAGTACAGTATCTGTAAAGAGGAAAGGACCAAAATCCCTCCTGAGATTTATACAAACCTGGTGACCAACTACAAGAAATGTTTAAGACATAAGATATCTTACCAATGTCTAGGTAAGACGTTTCTTGTAGTTGAAACCTTGCCAACAAATGTTTCTCTACCAAGTACTAAGGCATGTATTGCTTGGGGATCAAATGCTTATTTCACTCACTGAAATTATCAATTTATAACCTTTTATACAATGTGTTTTTCTGTTTTTTTTATTTTCTCTCTATCCTTTCAAATAAACCTACCATAAAGAGATTATAGACCCTTCATTTCTTTGTTAGTAGGGGCGAACCTCCAAAATCCAAAAATAATTATTTCCCCCACTCTATCAATAAATGTTTTTTGTTAACATTTATTGCATCTTTTACTAAATGCGTTATTGTACAACATTGCATCCATTAGCATTTACTTTGTTTTTTGGTAATTACATGTTGTTTAAAGTGTACAGTCTGTAAAGTTCATTTACTATCCCATATAAAAAAATTATTTAAAAAAAAAACTGAAATTATTTATTATTAATTTCGAGGAAATATTCGATCTTTCAAATATTTCAATATTATGTTTTAACTCATTTTTCCTCCACAGGTTTCCCTGGGCTGAAGGGTGTGAGAGGAGATCCGGGGTTTCCAGGGCCTGGTGGAATAAAGGGTATACCAGGAATTCCTGGTATCCTAGGGCAACCGGGAATTAGGGGACCTCCTGGACCCCTTGGCATTGGAGCACGTCCAGGCATACCAGGAAGACCAGGAATAAAGGGTATGAAGATTGCAGAAAGAACTTGTTCTAAATTTATTTGAGTTTTATTGTTGTCTGAAGCTACTCAAGATTCACTTCTTAAGTCCTTTTTAACTTGCTTCTACTGTCCCTAAAAACACACTATGGGAATTTGTTCCTAGAATTACAAGAACGACAACACAAATGTGAGAATGTTTCAAATGCCCCATGTCTGATTCTATTGAAAATGTGCCAATTTTACTTTTAATGTGTCTTTACCATAATGTTGGTATTTTTTGTCTGTGTCCAAGGGGTGAAGGGGTCTTTTGGGGTGTCGGGGTTCCAAGGATTACCTGGTTCTTCTGGAGTCCCAGGTGGGCCAGGTGTTAAAGGTTTACCTGGTTTCACTGGGCAGGATGGCTTTCCTGGGGAAATTGGATCAACAGGACCCAAAGGTATATTGATGGCAGGACATCTTGTTATATAATTATATGTTATATATTTTTTTGTGAAAGTGAAACCATAGAAGGCACTCAATAAAGAATTCAATACTTCAGAAAGAAGCCGGATATGAAATTGTTTGTAGTAATTGCATATATTTGTGTGTTGAAGGGGATCGTGGTGAGTCTGGTCTTCCAGGTCCCCCTTCTCCTGTGTTGCCAGCAGAGCTGCTGGAAAATGGTGAAATAGGTGACCCAGGAGCTAATGGACTGCCTGGTTTCCCAGGACCAAGAGGTACAAAAAGTGGACAGACCATCCAGTTAGGCCTCGTTTCCTTTGTTTATAATAGTAAATACATGCTATTTAGTGGCATTGACATGTTTATGTACTTGTCATTTATTATTCCACAACTTAATTAAATGACTCTTCATAACATCACAAGCAAAGGTATCTTTTCAGTTTGTGACAAATGAAGAATAGAATTTCAGAATTTCATAGAACTGGAATTTCAGCAAAAAGAATTGTGTTTCTTTTTTCAACAGGTGACAAGGGTTTTTCAGGGCGACCTGGACGTGAAGGCTTTCCTGGATCACCTGGTGTTGCAAACCAAGTAAAAGGTTTTCCTGGCCAGCCTGGAAACCCAGGTATTCCAGGTTCCCCAGGCTTCCCTGGGTCTAAAGGTTCTCCTGGAGTTATGGGCTTCCCTGGCACAACAGGCCTGAGGGTAAGCATTCTGTATTCAGGCTCAGGTCTGAGTATGTTAAAGTTTACTAGGGATCCACCAATATTTATATTGGTATCAGCATTTGCTAAGTTGTGTTATGTACAGACATATAGTGGCACAATTTAAAAAGGAAAATATTTTCAATGCAATGCAAATGCAAAAAAAACTAAATCTTAAATTATTTCTTTTTGTTTTTATTTATTACTTTTGTTTTTTTCGGTTCAATGACCTAGACGAGTTCTTCTAAGACTGAGATTAACCGAGGAAGTTGTGTTTTAAAATATGTGGTGTTCTCCACTGCAGGGTGATGATGGTTTTCCTGGGGTTCAAGGGTTCCCGGGCACTGCAGGACAACCTGGTGGCAAAGGTGAGATCTGTGTAATTCTGTCAGTGCCTTTTAGAATAATCATTTAAGATCTTTATTTCCTACCTGCACTACACATTGCAAATGCAGGCAGTTGAATAGTAGGCAAAACGCAGCCATTACTGATGTCCTTAAAAATGATTTGTTTAAGGTGAGAAAGGTGACTCGTATACATCATCTGGACCCCCTGGACCAAAGGGTGCGGTTGGAAATCCTGGATTCCCAGGTGAGAAAGACACTTTTTTCAGGCTATGGATATCAAATATTTATTTATCATCTTAAATTGGTATTTTATACTCCAGTCAGGTTTTATAAATAGTTTTTTGTATTTTGTGTTCAGGTGGTCCAGGATTTCCTGGTGAACCAGGTGATTCAGGTTTCCCAGGAGTCGTAGGATTTCAAGGCCAGAAAGGATTACCTGGAGAGCCAGGAGCACCAGGATTCGCTGGTATGTGGACATTTGCTGCCACCCTTGTAATTCTCGAGTCATGATTACGGTTTTTACTTCAAACGCTGTTTTCTTGCCTAATGTCATTGGTTTTTGTTGTTGTATTTATTCATAGGATCACCAGGCCTCGCAGGCATTAGGGGGCTTCCTGGTTATCCAGGACTAAAGGGGCGTGATGGAGATGCAGGCCGTCCTGGAACTCCAGGCTCACCAGGAGAAAAAGGTTACTGAAGAACTAGTACCATTTTAATGTTAGATATTGCCAAAACCAAATGAATTTTATTTTTCAGTTGTAGTTGTTCATCTCTCTACAAACTAAAAGAAAGCGAAATGAATCCATTTCTGTATACTCTACCGCAAATGTTACTTCAGGTTTTCCAGGCTCACCTGGCTTAGATGGACTCAATGGTCTTCCAGGATCCAAGGGGCCACGTGGAGTTCCAGGTAAATTCATCGAATGATCCTTTCATTATAAAATTCTACATTAAGCTTTAAAACTGAACAAACACCCTGGTGACTGTTTATTTATTTACCATGTATCCTCAGGCGTGATTGAAGGTGGTCGGCCTGGAGCTCCTGGTGTGAATGGCCGGAAGGGAGAGAGAGGCACATCACAACCGGGTGGACCTGGTCGCCCTGGAGAGAAAGGAATCAAAGGAGACACTGGTGAGACTTATCATGTGGATGGACGACTAAACATTTCTGAATATCTTGTATAAAAGGAAAATAAGGGAAAGAAATGTATTAATTTGAATGAAAAGGAAAGTCTGAATAACTGAATTAAAAAATAATCAAATAAAAATGATGTAAAAATGAATGTACCTAATGGACTGTTTAAATAAAAAAAAAATATTCCAGCATTTTTCTCCATATAATGCATTTCAGTGGGAACGAAACGGTTCAAGGTCAAAAGACAGTTTCAGTGCAAACTGCAAACTGTTCAAAGGGCTTTAAACGATTCCAGACAATGAATAAGGGTCTTATCAAGCAAAACGATCTCTCATTTAATAAATAAATAACAAAGTTTAAGTTTTAAAAGCTCAAATGCTAGCCTTGCTCTGTTCTGGGATGCACACTTGTGACTCTCCTGTTTGAACTTGTTTATTCAAAGAACAAAACAAACGAATTGACTTGGAAAAAGATTTGTTCATTTTGATAAACGTCATTGAAGATTGGAGTGGGAATCACACTTTACATTACTTTCCACAAGGCCACTGAGGTGTGTTCTAACAAGAAAACAAGCAATCGTGGGGTCATTTTTTTTTGCTGTTTTATGTTCATATATGTATTTGATGATGTGAACTTTTGCCTTTCAGGTCCTTCTGGTTTTAGAGGCTACCCTGGTAATCCTGGCCCCCCTGGGCCACCCAGTCCTTCTAATATCCCAGGTCCTCCTGGAGACCCTGGACTTCCGGGATTAGATGGACGAGAAGGTACAGGACATCTCTGTTCTCTTTTTTTTCTGCTTACTTATTGTTGCATTTCTACGAATAAGCTGAACCCTTCTTTGGCTATATATATCTAAAACCCAAATAAATTTGATCTAAAGGGCTAACAGTTAAATCCACGACGTCGATCTGTTTCTCTTTGTAATGGCGGTTGCCAATGGTGTTTGTGATACTGTGAAATCATTTGAACTGGACCATTTGTAGGTCCCTTTGGCCCTCCTGGCCTGCCTGGACCACCAGGCCCTGGAACAGTCCAAGGAGACAGAGGAAATCCTGGATTTCAAGGGCGACCAGGAATACCAGGACCACGTGGAGACCCTGGTACTTTTGGAGCCCCTGGATTACCAGGCAACCCTGGTTTTAAAGGTATTCTTTTGTTATTATTTTGGCATGAAGTTTCTAAATTCATCTTTCTTAAATTTTTTCCAGCCTCATACTCTGTCTTGTATTTTATTTATAGGAATTCAAAGGGCCGCCCCCATGTGCTCATCTTTCATATGAACTGCAATTTCTTATAGTATAACATGAATAGTGATAAACATTAACATAAATACAAAGTAAATAAATGGTGGTGATAAACAAAAACTAACCAATCTGGAAGATAAAAAAAAAAAAAACAGAAGAATTTAACAAACTACAAATGGGCAAAAAGTGTGATAAATTAGCCTATTACCTGTCATCCCAAAGTGTGATAATTCACTGGAAAATGACATACTTAAACTTAAATGATTGCAGTTCATGAATACTCTAGACTACAGTTCATAAATTATTTTAAAAGAAGATGCTTAGGAGTTTTTTGGTCAAGTAAAAACAAGAAGCAATGTAACTGAAATATAACTAAGTGTTGTAACAGAGTGCTATATAGAAATAGGCCCACAGTGTTAGTGTTGCCAGTAAAGAGGTTCTAAAAAAGCTATTTTAGAATAGTACACAAACTCAATGTCATGAAGACATTTCTATATTTTTCCCAAAGCATAGATTAAGTGGAGAATGCTGATGGAAAAATGAATACCTGCGCTAATTAACCCTTTATGGTGAGGTATTATAATCATGCCATGATGCAGGCAGTGTTTAAATTAATCCAATAATCCAATAACATGTTGTCAACTATTCATTGATGTCAACTTTACAATACGTTTACAATAACAATCTAAATGCGTGCAGATAGCGCTCCGTTTAAAATCACTATAAGGCCGTCACTCATTTCAGTTCATTGCAATCTCACAAAGTTTCATTATAAACAATGAAGCTGTCTACACCGCACAATGAAACTCTTATTTGCATCATGTATACACTTCGTTTGTTATAATGAGAGGATTCACAAGTGTCCAGAACTTGTGAGTCAGCAGTGAAGAAAGACTCTGGTGTTTTTGAGCGGTAAGTCTATTGTGACTAAACAACTTTGACTGGCCACTGCGTTCAAGAAATCAACTTGCATGTATGAGATTGGCTTCATTGCTCAACGCTGCAAAGACACGTAAATAGAAACCCTTTGAGCACAAACACAAATACATGCTGGTTCAGTTTCGCCAATGTGATATTATTACAGTATCAACTGAGGGTGCTCTTGCTTTCGTTTAAGGGTGCTTAGCACCCCATAGAACCGGGCCTGCCTCTCATGCGGTTTGGGAATTCATTAAGTTTTGTGCTCTCTTTTTCATCTGCATTTACAAGGGCAAAGAGGTGACCCTGGCTTTAATGGTGTACCTGGACAACCAGGGTTCCCGGGAGATCCAGGAAATAATGGCAGAGATGGACCCAACGGATTAAGTGGTCAGTAGATTACAGTGCTTTTTATATATCTTAAAGATCGTTTTTCACAACTGTTATAATGTATATCATAAGCATTATTGAAACATTTGCTTATCATCCTCTCAGGCGAGTCTGGTGCTAAGGGAGAACCAGGTTCTGTTTTTTACCCACCTAATAGAAACCAAATAATATTTGGGGATCCAGGCCCACCAGGTCTTGATGGGTTTTTGGGTCTGGTGGGAATACCAGGCCTGCCAGGCACTCCAGGGTTCCCAGGTGAGTGTTTTTTTCCTATCTTAACATAAGATAAGAAAAAAGCAAAAATTATTAAACTGAAAGTCTGATCAAATATTTTACTTTTTAACTTTAAATTTCAATTCCTCTGAAATTAATTTAGGTCCTAAGGGCCTCAGAGGGCCAGTGGGTAGACCCGGTCCAGTTGGTCCAGCTGGATCTCCAGGAACTCTTGGAGACTCTGGAACTCCAGGAACCCAAGGACCCACTGGATACCAAGGTACAAAGAATCTCCTTTTACCTTTTACATTTTTTATATACATTTTGGTACACTGGTTTTCACATGGTGGTTTTATTTCACATTACGGGTTTTATTTTTTATCATGGACAAAAGGGAAAATAACAAAAACCAATTACAATTAAAATAATGAAATATAACTAACCATATAGAAAAAGGTTGTTTGTCTGTTCAAACTTTCACTATTAAGATTCTTTAATGTATGTTATTGCATTATATTGATCAATAAATTAACAAAAACATTTACAATGTTACACAATTTTTTACAAAATAAATATATAGATTATTTATATATTTAAAATAAATTATTTTCATTTAATCAAAAAATCCTAAAATAATCCATGATGGTTTCCAGAAAAATATTAAGAAACTCAGCTGTTTTCAACATAATAATAATAATAGTAAATGTTTCTTGAGCAGCAAAACTGATTTCTGAAGAATCATGTGACACTGAAGACTGGAGAAAAGATGCTGAAAATTCAGCTTTGCCATCACAGGAATACATTACATTTTATAATATATTAAAATATAAAACATATTCTTAATTGTAATACTATTTAGTAATATTAATAAAGCAGCCTTGGTGACCCATAAGAGACTTATTTCAAAAATGTGAAAAAATCTTCCAGAGCCTAATCTTTTGAACGTTTGTGTACTGCATTTATATTTAGATATTTCTTAGCAATAAACATTTTTGTGCAATAGACAATTTTGGCCTTGTGTTAGATCTTCACTTGATGCAAGTGTACATTTTGGATTCTGGAGCAAAAACAGATGAGAACTGCGTATTTCAAGTGTGCCGGGCAACAGTAGATTTTACTATAGCTTTCCCCCATTTCTTCTCCTCCCTTCTGTAATTGTCTGTCAAATTCGCTCACTCCACAGGACCCCCCGGCAAGCCAGGGTTGCCAGGTCTTCCTGCTCAACCGGTGCGCAGTAGTGGTATTGGTTATACTTTGGTGAAACACAGTCAATCCAGCCAGATGCCCATGTGTCCTCAGGGCATGACCAAGCTATGGGATGGATTCAGTTTGCTGTATGTTGAGGGGCAGGAGAAATCACACAACCAGGACCTGGGTGAGACACTAGTGTTGCTATTATGAGGGGTTTCGATTGTTTAAAAGGATCATAATATTTTGAAAACTCTGTTTTGGAATAGATGGATTTGAAAGTATATTGTATTAGATAAGTTATTTGTGCTCTGTGTAATATAGACAATTTTACATGTGTGAACTGATGAGTTGATTTGCCTGATGCTCTGAAAGATTATTGAATTCAAATTTTCTTTTCCTTACAGGATTGCCCGGCTCATGTCTGCCACATTTCAGCACCATCCCCTTCCTGTACTGCACAGTCAATGAAATCTGCCACTACGCTAGCCGGAATGACAAATCCTATTGGCTGTCGACCTCTGCGCCCATTCCCATGATGCCTGTGGAAGATCAGCAGATATCTCAGTACATTAGCCGCTGCTCAGTGTGTGAGGCTCCATCTCAAGCAATCGCTGTCCACAGCCAAGATCTCAGCATACCGACCTGCCCTCAGGGCTGGAGAAGTCTGTGGATTGGTTACTCCTTCCTTATGGTAAAATTCAGTTATATATCTCAGCTCACATGCACAATCACACATCACTGCATATTCAAATAAACAGAACTTGCAGTGTAGTACACATACACATATATGTGTGAGATTTTAACCAGTGTAATGGCCCGTGTCAATGGCGTCATATCCGCGTTACCCTCGATTCACGGTTTACTTCCATAAAAACGCCAAAGACACTTTAATATTTTATGCATTTTATTAGATAGACGAGAAACTGTTTGGATCCCTTTATTGACAGAAAACTAATCATTGTAACATGTACCATGTCTCCATGTACCAGGTTTTCAATATTGATTATAAAAAGTTGTTTCTTGATCATAAAATCAGCATTTTAGAATGATTTCTAAAGGATCACAGGAATAAATTACATTTTAAAATATATTCGAATATATGAATTAGTTATTTAAAATGTTATTATTATTAATATTATAAAAACAGACGGAAATGGTGCAACACACGGACTCTGGGTCGAACATGTATGGGCGAATCATCCCGGTTGCAATTCCCCAATTCCCCCACGTGCACTGACGAGTGAGGTGAAACTCATTATAATATGCAAAACTGTTATCCACTCACATCAGTGGGTGTTTACTTCTAAGTCTTCAGTGCGAGACACCCATATAAACCCAGCGTTTTTCAGCTAGGCTCAAAACTAGGGTAGAAAATAGCCTATTACTTATTAATTTTGATGTTTTTGAATGTAAAAACCAAGTGAACGTCATAAGTTGACCTCAGCCAACAATATAATAAAATGTAAAAAGCCAGACAGTTCATAATTGTCGGATCTATGTATTTAATCACGAAAATGGGAAGATGAAAACCACTATTTTCTGTTTAAAATTTTCACATAGCATTTGTAGGTTATAATAACATTATAACAATAAAAAATTAAATCCAGGTTTTGATTTTCAAAGATTTATTATAAAAACAGATTTATTTTTTTCCCCAAAATGCAATAAATCCATTATTTATTTATTTTCAAAATGCAATTAATCAAAATTAAATTGTATACACATTGAATTTGTTTTTTGTGCATATAAATTCATTGCTTTAATATAAAATCTGTGCAAAACTGTTTTGCACATGACACCTCTAGACTACAGAAAATTACATTCATATTTCAGACATCTTTGTTGTATTGATTGTCTTGTGCATACTATTTATCCATCAATTAATATAATATATTAATATAATAATATTCAGTAACACTTTACGGTAAGGGTACATGTCATGAATTATCATGAATTCATGTATAAATACATTCATGTATATATACATTAATATCATCAGGAACTAACAACGTTTTTTTAACAGTTCAACGTTTTTTCATTCAGGACTTCATGGATGAACAACTCCTTAATTAAAACATTAACGTTAACTAAGATGAGCACATCATCATGAATTATGATTTATTAAGCATGATCTAACGTTACTTCTGCATATCGCTGTTGTCAAACTTGGGACGTCGCCTCCCAAAAGTTTTTTGACGGCGATCAGCTGTAAAATGGCTTGGTCCTGCTCGGTTTTTGTTGACTTTGAATAAAACAACTGAAAGTTTTTTAAAAGATCCCCTGGGGTCAGGATGTCAGCGTGACAGAAATTTGACACTGTCGTGTGAGAACAAGCAACAGCCGGTATTTCCTCCTCCCGAGTGTCTCATCTTTTTAATCTCCTCACATAAATGATTCGATTTCGATGTCACGTTTACCCATGCAGGATGCCTTACCCTCCGCAGGTTCACCAATGCTGTCAAAATTATTCATTTTTTTGTTTGTTTGTTGATCGAAAATGACAAAATAGATAAGAAAACCTTGGAAGCCGGCGTTAAAGGGCTGCCGTTACTGTTTACATTGCGTGGAATGGTGCATTGTGATTGGTTAAGCGGATGTATCGCTTGATAGAGCGTTTGAGACTGAGACTGGCGTTTGTCGCGGTTTGGAAAGAAAGTGAAAAAACATTACATAATATCACGGCGGATATCGTATTTTACGTAAAATTAAAAATTGACTTTTCAAGACCGACCAGATACAATACAGATTTTTGCAGTAACTAATTATTATTATTTTTTTTTTAAATGGCGTTTATCGCGTTTTGGAACCAAACTCTTCATATATTAGATCTCGTTAAATGACAAATTAAACACAATGTACTATTGTATACTATGTAACACGCCATGTCACGCTCTGAGTGAGTGGTATTTACGACAGTGACATTAAATTCAAGTACTCCACAGCAACTCTCAACTCTCAACAAAAACGAGATTCCTGCATAGTGGCCCTTTAATATCAGAGCCACCGAATGACGAATACGAAAATTTCTGACTCAGTGTGCAAGGACCTTAAAAGACTTTTGAGCAGTAGTGGATATTTATCTCACTTATTTTTGATCAAGGTCTTACTCAAAGTCTCCTCAAAGATGCAATGAACGACGTTTTTTACAATGTCAAACTAATTCCATATAACTTTGCAATTTTTGTGTCTGTCCTTCAGCACACGGCCGCAGGTGCAGGAGGAGGCGGTCAGTCATTGGTGTCTCCCGGTTCTTGTCTTGAGGATTTCCGCTCCACTCCCTTCATCGAGTGCAATGGTGCCCGCGGAACCTGCCACTACTTTGTCAACAAGTACAGTTTCTGGTTGACCACGGTAGAGCAGAGCACACAGTTCGTCCAGGGTCCTACCCAGGAGACGCTGAAGGGAGATCTGTACCGCTCACGCATCAGTCGCTGTCAAGTCTGCATGAAGATTTTGTAGCTTGTGTAGATCCATAGCAGGAGACTTTAACTAAAAGAATGGAAGATGAGCTGAGATGAGTAGAAGACACGTCAACTGACTGATTTGATTTCATGCCCTTGACAGTGGTAATATGAAGGGCTGTGGTGTGGCCCACAGGTAAATTTGGTCGGTAAATTTGGAGAATATCGGGGTTGGAATGAAAAGAAATGGAGAAAGAGATTTGTACTCTTTATGTTTATTATCAACACTGGTGCTATGTTGAAAATATGATGTTGTATTTTTGTGTTAAAGCCTTTTCCTTAAGTTTTTAGTCATATTCACGGCTACCTCAGAGAGTGCATCCTAGACTCCCAGTGGATGGCACGGAATAATACACCCTTTATTTTTTAGATGAAGCCATGCAGCGATAAAAACGATGCTTATGGATATGTCCATATATCCATGTCTTATGGATAATATGTTTTGGCTTCAGTAGTCTATATTGGTGTTTTCTTGACAATAATGTTAACCAGATTTTCTTGTTTACCATTCGGCAATAACGGACAAACCAGCACTTTGCAATCTACGTGAACAAGTAAGATTGTGCCTCATGGTTGTCACTTGAAATGATTGGTCTAACCCCTTAAATATCCTATATGAATTGCACTGAAGTTAAAAAATATGTTCTTGTTTTACAAGATCGCATGCAGCTGATCTAAATTCATCTAGTTCACCTTGTGTGCTCAATGATTCTTCTATTATTTTATTGATTAGAATATTCAGACATTCCTCAAACATAAATGATTTGGATGATTAATACATTACAGATCATCTCTTGGTCTTTTAAGGTATAGGTTTTCATACTCTATAATTCACACCAAAAATGTGTGTAATATGTTTTATACTCGTAATGTCATTTTTAATTTTAAAATATCTAATTTACTGTGTGCATTGGAGGTGATAAATAGACTAATTTTGAGTTACCCAGTCTCTCAGAGAGATTGGTTGAAACATAACCACTATGACCACTTAGCCTTTCAGTCTCTCACTGGTAGCCCTGAGTATACATTTTCTTTCTTTGTGTTACATTTCATTATGTGTCTATAAGTTGATTTATTCCTTTCATCCTCTTGATGAAAGACATACATTAAATTGATTGTACATTTAACAATAGAGAAAGATTTAACAATATTTCCACATTCATGTTTTTTTCTGAAATAAAATGATGTACATTTGTGAAGATTGGCCATCACAGGTGGGCAATTTGCTTTATTATACTTTTAACACTGTGAGACTAAAAAAAAGAGATGTATCATATTAGAACCCACAGTAAACATTTATTTTAATGAATTCAGACGGTAAATATGAGATGATGATATTTTCCAGAATTTCATATAGTAATGTAAATGTTTAATCTGAATGCTCACAGTGAGTACAGTATACATATGAAACCTGTCAAATAAAAGTATTCAAACTTCTAAATGTTGTCTTATATAAAGTTACTTTTATTGTGTACAAAATTTAATATTTATAGTTAGCCTATTTTCGTGTGATGTCTCAGAATGGTACCATGGACATAAACACAAAAACATCAAGTTATGTGCCTTGATTAAGGGCACAATGGTGATGCTTCTTACAGGGATCAAACCAGCAACTTTCTGGTTACCAGAAGTGATCCATAACCCCTATTCCACATCTGCACATCCACTAGCAGGCTAGAAACCAGGGAAAATCAGAACTCTGCAAGGAAAGCAGACTTGATAATTAAACTGATAATTATAATATATCATAAGGATCAAGTAAATAAAATGTTCTGTCAACTCCGTTGGAACTCCATTTTCAGTTTATATCAGTAGCCTACATGTTTTTAGTAGTGATGATGAAGGAAGGAATAGGCTTGTTTGAGATAAGCAAATATCTCCCTTTGCTTTGAACTTTGAGCGTTGTAATTTTGCAGATGTTTTTATGGTCAAACAGCAACATTACACACTAACTAAAGTTACAAAAGAGAAATCATTATCAACCAGCCCCTTTAAGGTCGAAACAGGATGACGTAATGAAGCTTCGTTTGCTAAATGCTCCGTTTCGGCGCCCCACAGCAGTAGACGGCGCTGTGAGCGTCCCGACTCCCCAAGTTCAGCTGCTGTAGTAACTCATAAACAACACAGCACAGACAGACATAAGGGACGGGACTTCAGCAAACGCAACACATTTCTCCTTTAAGACTGCTGCACAAAACAGGTACATATAAACACATAAAAGTGTGTATGAATAAGTTCGCTGCTGTCTCTTTGTTGAGTCTGCCCGCCCCCGTCTCATATGCTAGTAACGTTAGTGCTCTTATAAACGCTGGGAAACATAGTGTAACGTTATTATACAACTGTTTACAGTGACATGTTCACTAACGTAAAACCCCACTTGACACACTGGAGCTGGTTTGTAGTAGCAGCACTCTCTGTTTCTGACTTTAGATGAATAAATCTCACTGTTGTGTTTAGTTTTTACATATGTCAGCATCATCTAGCAGTGCGCTGGCTAATGCAGAATCCTCCTTCTCCTCCTCCAGCACTGCAGCGCATGATCAGGTGCTTTGTTAAAGAGTGTTGCAACAGTTAAAAAGCCATTATTGTGAATTATTACAGTGCAGTATAATCCTTCATGAGTGTGACCTAATTTTATTTACAGTCTATGGGTGTGACTGCGCCCTGCACCATCTTCACCCTCGTCATTTAGGACTAGGTCATATTTCACCTCATAATCACCTCGTATTCAAACGGGAAAAGTAAGAAATTATATTTTGCTTTAAGAAATTTAAGCCTACTTTATGTTGAAGACTATTAATCATTTAATATGTGTCAAATGTTTTTAAACGGTTCATTATTTTAGACTGGTTGGGCGTCACTTTCCCAAATTACAAACTCAGAATATTCCTAAATAAATACAGATAAAATAAATCATACAAGGATGCATTTAATGTATTACTGGTAATCTTAATTTGAAAGTTGTTTAATTACTCAGCCATTTTCATCTCATGTCTTTAGAGAAATTATATGGTACAACATGGTCTTATCAAGGTTATATTATATTAATCTCTGTGAGAATGTTGTTTTTATATTTTTATACAATTTGCTTTACTGTAATATAGCACTGGAGCCACTTGATATTAAGCGTCTTTAACTATTATGTACTAATATTTTAAATAATAATTTGATTCAGTTCACTTATACATGTTTTCTAAAATCCTAAAAAACAGACTTCATCTTTTTAACGCAAAATATAGTTTAATGAGAGATCCACTCTATCATTGTGTTTTTCAGCTACGCTGGAATTTTCGGAGACCGACTCGGACATGTCATATGTCTTCATCAATGACTCGTCGCAGACCAGTGTACCGTTACTGCAGGCTTGTATCGATGGGGACTTGAGTTTCGCTAGGCGTCTGCTGGAGACCGGCTGCGACCCCAACATCCGTGATCACAGGGGCCGCACGGGACTGCATCTGGCAGCGGCACGAGGTAATGTGGACATCTGCCGCTTCCTGCACAAGTTCGGCGCAGACCTGCTGGCCACCGACTATCAGGGCAACACTGCACTGCACCTGTGTGGACATGTGGACACCATTCAGTTCCTGGTGTCCAATGGTCTCAAAATTGACATTTGGTGAGATATGCCAATAGTTTTATACATTTAGGTAACTAGACGGATTTTGGTAAGTGTGTGTGACTACTATTCTAATTAGGCTAATTAGCCTAATACTGTATCTAGTGCTGGGTAGACTAGTAACGGATTAAGTAATCAGAATCTAAAAATTAAATACGTGTAATTAGATTATGTTTTTAAAATACTCATAATCAGACTACAGTTATTTTTATTGATTACATGATTCATTTGCAAAATGGCAGTAAATTAATTAGAATTCATTGATTGTTCCTAATTATTCTTTTAAAAACTTTGCTTGGAAAAACAACAACAATGTATTGCTTTTCTATATTTTCATAAAGTCTTCCAGGTTTGTGCAGACTGGCCACTAGTCAGGCAACTATAATTACATGGAAAATTGAGAGACCACACAGTATTATCTATTTTAAATTACTCATGTCTTTTAATATAACATTTTTAAGATTTATTAATAATAATTTATTTGCTTTTCATTAATTTAAGAACCCCATGCAATTACTTCTAAAAACCTAGTAAAAAAAAAAAAACAGAGAAAACCAGGGAAACCCTGACGTAATGTAATTTGTAATCCAATTAATGTTGTTGATAACCATAAAAAAACAAAATGGATTACTTTTCCTTTCTCTTTGTATTTTTGGTACATTTTGTATCAAAATGGTACAATATTATATTATTCTTTTATATTACTTTTGCATGATATTCTAATTTTTGGAGTTTCACCTGTAAATGCATGAGGTGGTGAGAAGGGCTTTTTGCCCCACACGCGGAGTAAACGGCACCCAGTATTGAAGTTTTGTGTAACATCTTGTACTTGTTCAAAACAATAACTTCAGCAAAGTTTGTTATATTTCACCAATTTACTTTTATTAAGTTCAGTCATCATTAAAATGTATATATATATATATACATATGTTATATGTTATAGAGATTAAAATATGTTAATAGAGATTAAAAAAAGCTTACACTGTTGAGGGAGATCCTGTAATAATTTAACGTGGCTTTACAGTAACAATGAATTATATTATTATTTTATGATTAATATAATATTTTCAAAATATGATGGTTTCATTAGAAATATAATTATTATCTCTTGGGACTAGGGTGGACATTCAACTTAATAAATATTGACCATTAGAAATTTAACCATGTGATGTCAAAAAATGAAGTCAGCCAGCTATTTATTATCATGTTAATTATTGTGCCTTTACTATTTAGGACAGATAGTATGTGAATAGTGTGAACAACTATGGTCCATGGTAACTAACCAGTTACCACCAGTTAGTCACCACTTTCATAAAATAGAAATACTATGTTTTAAATTAAGACATATCATATTAATTTATTATTTTCCTGTAGCAGTAGTGCTTGTAATGATGTAATAACTTGGCAGTAATAACTATTGTAACAATGGTAAGTATCTATTGTAACAGGGTATATCTGACTCTATGTAACGTTTCTCGATTGTGCTCTTGCTTTCGAACAGTAACCACAACGGGTCGACCCCCCTGGTGCTGGCTAAGAGGAGAGGGGTAAATAAAGATGCCATTCGGCTGCTGGAAGGCCTGGAAGAGCAAGAGGTCAAGGGCTTCAACAGAGGAGCTCACTCCAAACTAGAAGTCATGCAGATGGCTGAGAGCGAGAGGTTGGATTCGTCTCAGATGCCACCTTTTAGGAACATCTTTTAGTTATTTGATATTTTTCAATTGATTACCAATACTGACTCGACACTCTTGTTCCTAGTGCGATGGAGAGCCATTCGCTGCTCAATCCAAACCTACAGAACAGCGAGGGTGTCCTGTCCAGCTTCCGCTCCACCTGGCAGGAGTTTGTGGAGGATTTGGGCTTCTGGAGGGTCCTGCTGCTGCTGGTGGTCATCGCTCTTCTGTCTCTGGGCATTGCTTACTATGTTAGTGGCGTACTGCCCTTTTCTGCGAGTCAGCTGGAGTTGGTCCACTGAGTGCCAGATTGTGTTACATCCCGGGACATGGCCAGTCAAGCTTTGAAGTAAAGGGAGGTTTGAGTGGACTCTGAAGGTACACTGAAGGTTCCTCATAGTACAAGATTAGGTCTAATGTGAAGTTTAGAAACGATCTTGTCATTCTCACAGGTGAGGTCGAGTGGAGGCGTCCACATGATGATGGCTGCGTTATGAAGGAAGACTGAAAGGTAAAGGTTCAGATGTTAATGGAGGAAAATGTTTCTTAAATACACCCCAAGTAAACCCATTTTTCACAGATTTTCCCATGATCACTGAATACAGCCAGTTGACAGTCGACACATACACTTGTAATATCTCAATGGTGATGTAGACAACATTAAATTACAGTCGTAGGTTCGATCAGGCATGATGTTTTCATCCTAGTATTTGCATATATTTCTTTTCCATCACCTTTACTTTTTTTCTGTATATGAAGTCTTTGTTGTGGACGTATGGCTAGTATAGACCAAACACTACACATGCTTATTTACATATCTATGATTCATTTGTTTGATTTACATTGTTATATTTAATATTGTTTTAAGGTATTTGTCTGTAAAATGTTACATAAACTAATAAATGGCCATCAGGAATTTCCTTTCTGTGCACAGATGACAGTTTGTCAAAGGACAGTTAACCCTGTTCTGTTAAAAAGGATCTTTCTGTTTGTTTAATTTTTTTCTCATCATAATATACTTTCACACTTTGATTGTGTTGTTCTTTGAATCATTTACCCAGTGTTAAGATAATTTGAAGATATGACCTAAAATGAATAAAGTGTTGTGATAAGCAGTGGTTTTCAGTCATTTAAAAATGGCTACAGATTTTAGTTAGGCTCTGTGCTGTTCTAAAATCACTGTAAACCACACATAGCAACAGAAATGTAATAATTCTTCCACCAAACGTGTAGTTCTTCAGCAACATTTTGCTCAGTAAATTAATACTGATTTAAGGAGGTCATAGGTGTGTGTGTGTGTGTGTGTGTGTGTTTATAGGACATGTCTCAGCCAATCATAATTAAGGACCAAAACAATTGTTGTTGGGAGTTAAGCAAATCTTTCCAAACAGCATCTCTTAACATTTAAATTTTTGCTATAGAAATACAAATAAATATGGGCTACCACATGAGTATGCACTTAGACATTCTACTAACTTTGCAACTACATGCCAACTAACTCTCATTAGAGTATTAGTAACTTAGACTGTTCACACCAAGCACGATAACTATAAAGATATAATTCTAAAAATCGTTCTCCATATTAAAGAATAACAGTTCACACCACAACTATAACGATAAAGACATAAGGAACGATATCGTTGGGATCACTTTCAGAATTATTTTTTTCCAGCTGCTGTCCAACGATAAAACACCACACTGACAACCAATCAGAATCCATTCTAATTTAAAGGTCTCGCGCATTTAAAATGGCAGATTCCAGAGACGTTAACGTTAATGGTCGAGGTATAAAAAATCCTCCACTGTTTCACAACAAGTCAAACTCCCTTTTCAAGGATACGTTAAAAAAGATGGATATATGGAAAACAATCGGTGGTATCCTGGGAATAAATGGTGAGAAGTATTCAGCAACGTGTGTAGCTGCTAACAAAATTACCTCAGATAACGTTAGGCAATCCAACGCTAGTTGACAAAATTGCTGAAGTTGCAGTGAAAAAAGGCGTTGTAGCACATAAAGGTGTTGACTAGGTGATGTTTTTTATCCCATCACTGACTTCATCAGCTAAATCCACTGTTAGACTTGGTAACGTTAATTAGATTCACTGTTTAGATACGCTCCCAACTCCTCTCGACTTTTAAGGATGTCTTGTACCCAAAAGCGCCTGTTTTTCTTTTGATATTTGTTTGTAACGTAAAGAGCAGAAGTAATCCATTCTGCACAACAATTAGCAGTGTTAGCAGATATTGAGCAGACAGTCTACCACTCTGACTGGTAGCAAATTTTCTTAGTAGAATGTCTACAACTATTGAAATGAACCCAACATGAACATTTAGCTACTATGGTTTTTTTTAACAAACGTGAAGAATATAAAATGTATGATTCAGTGCATATCTAATTATCGAATAAATGTCAAGCAGATCATTACTATAATTATTTTCCTGTAAATCCATTTGAAAGTTCTGTGGGAACGGAAGCCATCACTCTAATGTTAATGTTTTTTTAGGGCTTTAGGGTTTTGTTTTTTAGGGTCGCAAACTGAACAACAGCTCTATTATGTTTGTGTAATTGGACCACATCGCCCCCTGGTGCCCGCAGCAGACCTGAACATTTTGGTAACACACACACGCTCTATGTAGCTATTATAAGTCTACTAACTAACACATGACATGACATGGTCATATCCAGACACTCTTTCTCCTTCCTCTCTCCCTTCATGCCCTTTTGATGGAAAGAGTGTATTGATGGTGAGTGACTCATCCGGATGTTTGTTGGGTAAATTAGCTAGATTGGTCGTAGGAGGGGATTTCGGCAGTGGTGTTACCACTCAGGGAGAGAAACCACAACAGCCATTTAGCATGTGCTGACCCACAAAATCCAACACAAATGTGGAAAGAGAAAAGGGTGGTGAGTGAGAGATGTACTCAGATTAAAAACGCATAAGAAGCTTAACGGCATAATTCATAGCAATTAGGTCTGCGTCACAGGCAGAATCCCAAACATTTATGTTTTCTGTGTAGATTTTTCAACTGTAACAACAAAAGTGATTAGTGATTTACTGGATAAGGATAAGAATAATAATTTAAAAAACGTATTCCTCCTAACCGGATATTTTGTGGCTTGGCAAAGCAAGATTATTGATTATCAAGATTTTATTACTTTACTTCTCCAGAGCACACTTTTAAAATGACACTTCCTCATATATTCTGCTCTAAGACTGCATGTGGGAATGCAGTTGTTTTGCTGAAACATGCCACAACCACCTCAGCTTCAGTTCTCCTCAGTTCAGTGTAAAACCAAATATGTAGCATAGCAACAACCAAAGACTGTACTACAACATTTAAAGTAATGCTTGAGGACTAAACATTTCTTTCCATTACATTTAATAGGTTTGATAAATTGAACATGAAATGTAATGAGCAAGTTCCTCATTTTGGGGACTTTCTTTCTGGGACCAGCGACAGCCTAAAAAACGTTATAAATAATGTCCCAATGAAGTCAATGAATGGTTCTCACTATGAGAAAAATAACAGGTGTGTGTGTGTGTGTGTGTGTGTGTGTGTGTGTGTGTGTGTGTGTGTGTGTGTGTGTGTGTGTGTGTGTGTGTGTGTGTGTGTGTGTGTGTGTGTGTGTGTGTGTGTGTGTGTGTGTGAGACATCACAGAGTGATGTGTTGTGACTAGTGCAGAAGTTCAGATAGTAGCTGCATGCTAATCTTTTCTATTTCTGACCTCTTTCTTTCAGCCTTTCAGCCGTTTAGCCTTTATGGTGAACAGTGAAGCAGCTTCCATATACTGTATACTGCCTATCCATTGCCAAGACCCCCATCATGCCTCCCTCCCTGAAACTGGGTGCTTTGTTTACGGCTCCAGGCTAACTTTGGTGTTGGATCTCAGAGTTGCAGTGGTCCCCAGAGGTTGTTTGTGGCCAGCCAGTGCCCTGCTGTCTTGCAGGTTAGTCTTGAGACCAAGCCTATGGGAGCATGCCGATCTCAGAAAAAAAGGTACAGAAGCTGTCACTGGTGTGGTGCCTTTTCAAAAGATGCAGCTTTGTACCTAAAGAGTGCATATTAGTCTCTCAATGGTACATGTTGGTACCAAAAGTGTACATATTAGTACCTAAATGGTATGTATTAGAACCTTTTTGAAGGATACCATCCCAGTGACAGCTTTTGTACCTTTATTTGGCCCTCTGAAAAAAAAGGCATGTGTTGAAGGCACACATTAGGGCGGTCCTCTTATAGCTCCGGCAGCCTTTTGCAACCATATTGTGGGACTGGTCGTCTTTGGACACTCTTGCCACCTGGATATCCCACACTATGGTTATGATGTGGCTACCGAGGGGCTAGGAAGAATGGCCTGGAGGCTAGACTCTTTACAGAAGTGGAACCGGGGATATATGGTCGCCAGCAGCTTGGATTGAGTGGCTTCTGAATGCTTTTGGTAGACCCCTATTTAGGGGCCGCACAGGGGAATGGCCTTGAAAACATGGCCCACACTATTATCTCCTGGGTAGCTTACCACATCCTACTGGAAATTCCTTGTGGTGGAAGTAAAAAAAAAAAAATCTTTCAAATTGGCAACATGGAATGTCAGGACTAGTGAGGGTAACAGACCTCATAAGAGGACTGCACTGATTTCTGAGGACCTGAAGCACTATAATGTGGATATTGCCCCCCGTCGCAAGACATTACTCCTGGGTAAACAGTAACAGTAAATCATGCATAATTTCAGCTAACCCTCAACCAAATCCTAATCCTACCCTAACCCTATAGTAAGTACATGTAGTTACTTAATATTACTTAAATAATTACTCCTCCTCATTAAGGACACGTCTTATAAATCATACTAAGTTTGTTTGTTTTTGTTTCTTTGAAAATCTAAAAATGCTTACAGTTTTTGTGTGATGGGTAGGGTTAGTGTAAGGAGATGCACAGTATAGAAACCATTATATCTACAGGAAGACGCATTAAATGCATTTGTATGTTCTCTCTGATGGATGATTGCCATCTGGGAGCAGTAAAATGCTTTAATTTATGAGTACATCTCATTTGCAATGTTTGCTCTGTTGAAGCTGAGTGCTTTACTATGATTGTTCTGTAAATCACTTGTTGATAGTAGCTGAAAAGGCTGCCTCGTGCTCTATTGCAGAATTCCTTGTTTCATTGATTTCGGATTAAGTGACAGATATATGGAAAGCATTTTCACATCCATTCATTCATCAACATAGCCTGAAGGACACACACATACACACATGCACACATTTTGAAGATTTTTGTATTTTGTTCTGTGGTGGTCAGTGAAAACGGATACAGTGAGGTCAGCCTTTGTTTGACAAAAAAATGTAATAACCAGTGAAGATCTGAGAAAGTACACATGCTGATAATAAAATGTTCATGATGTTCTCAGTAAACAGGAAGTGAAGGAACTGTTCAAGCAAGTCCGGAAGGGTTTTATTGTCTGGTATCCCATCTCTATTGTTCTATTCATTGACATCAAACACCTGAACTGTAGTGAAACGCCTTACTGAATTTATAGCATATCTAAGGAGGTGTAGCACTCCTCCTCATCACATGCTGTTCTGTTTTGGGTGACTCCTCTTGTTATTGTTCAAAGCCTGATGAAAAAACATCAGCATGCGTGAAAGCTACTGATTACAATACACTTTGACCTCTCATTTCAAAATTACCTAATTTCTCTGCTTTGTCTATTGTGTTATCTGTAAGACAAGTTCCTGTTTACAACATTATCTTTCTGATAGATGTCCTTTGTTCTCCCTCATGTGACCTGAACTTTTGTTGACCGAACTGACACTTGCCCTGTTGGGTCAGTGGTGCTGTTGTGTTACGTTTGATGATCATGTATGTGTTTTTTTCTTGCAAACATAAATATTCAATTTTCTGTGGTAAACTGAATGTCACCAAGGTAAAGTCAACAAGCGGACAAAGATTGTGTTGTCGAAATTGCAAGAAGGACTTTTGATGGTCTTGGAAGCATCAATTAGAATGGGATGAAAAATATAAATAAATTATTTGCCTTAGTTACATAATTTTTCTTTAAAAAAAAAATGTGGCTTAAAATATTTATTTTATTTGTGCCAGGACACATGTTGGCAAGGCCCATGGAAATTTCAACTCTAGTTCTCCAAGTGAGCCAGCAGGGGGAAAAACACCTATTTTTTTTACATGAACCGTGATCCAGAACCAGACCTGATGCTTGGTGAGTCCTAATGTTTGATATCAATGTATGTTTGCATTTCATCAACTTTTAGAGTGTTGTTGTCTGATGATAAACTGGGAAAGAAAGAACTTACTTGTTTGTGAATGCGTGATCTTTTTGAATGGGCCTAAAATCCGCTATGCCTCACTCACAAAAGCTTGTTGACTAGAGCATTCAGAACTTGCGTGATGTCATGTACCTCTGCAGGATTCAGACCGGCGTTCACTTGCATGTCACATGGATCAGCAGCACCCTCCAGGCATCAGGTGACTAACACACATCTGTTGTTATCTTATGCCTAGCACTGCATTTATTTAACAATGCATTTTACTGTGTCATATGACTTCACTCACGAGCGGTGTAGTTCTGTGTGCTGCCACACTATCCTTTTTGCAGATTAACCCATTAATGTCCTTCAGGATCTGAGGGAACAATGTGTCTCTTGTTAAGCCATTTTTATCTGTTATTATTGGTGATGTCAATGCATCAATTTAATTGATTAAATTCTTACCATGGTGTACATTTCTGGAGGTATTTTTTTTATAGGAAACATTTTCAGTTACAATCTGTGTTTGTGAAATATGTTGCACACACTGTCACAGATACAGTACAGAAATTGGTGAATTTGTAAAATTTAAAGGTGCAATTATAGGTGATTCTCTACAGAAACCTTTTTTGTTATGCTGGTTGTCTCCTCATATCCTGATAGCAATCATTTTGTTAAGCGGTTTAAATGTATTTTTATAAATATATATCGTCTATGGAATGTGTATGGAGATAAAATGGTTGTTCAATCATTGCATTCTGTTCAAATTAAATGAAATCTTGTACTGTGCAGCCTGTTCACACAGACACCATACAGTATGTCATCAGCATTAGTGATAGGCGATACCACTTATTTTGTTTTCGATACGATACCGATACCTTCAAGGCCAGTATCGTTGATACCGATTCCAAAACCGATACTTCTAAACTGAACATTTCTTAAATTGTTGAATTACTAAGATTAAAATGGGTAATGATACCCATTAAACATTATATTAGAAAGGCATTTTAACATTCAACATGCCTTAATTCAAATTTATGAAATTATATTTTTATTTACACATGGTTAAAATGTTTACATGTTGTGGTAACCATGGCAATCAACAAAATATTATAGGCCCATTTGATAACTATTGTCACTGTAATGTTCATTTTCATAAGAGACTGCCAGTTGCACCAATAAAATGTAACCTTTTATTATGACAGTGTATGATTTATATTAAAATTAGTAACAGAATAGAACATCAGTATGAATTTTTAACATTCAATTTAAAACAATTTAATTGCTCAAACTATGTAGGCTTCAATTTGTTTATTGTGAAATAGCTCAAACATATATTTTTCTGTCTTCTGTTAAGCATTGATTGAATCACTGATGTGATCTATCTAATGACAGTGGTTGAAATGCATTGTTGGCAGTGTGTGAACGCTCTCTGCGATTGATTGGTTCTGACTCTGATTTGCGTGTCTTCAGTTCAGAATCAGATAAGCAGGGAAGTGGTTCTACTACACAATTATTCACTAACATAGGTAATTAATCCAATTCAATGCATATTGTAAGCATTAGATTTCTTGTCAAATAAACAAAATTATTTTCATTTGAGTATCGATACTTTCAATTCTCAACGTCAATATCGATATATCGATACTTCGTATCGATCCGCCCATCACTAATCAGCATGTTCATGTAAGCTGTGCAGGCAGAGCGAGAATGGCAGGCAAACAGTTGTTTACATTTGTTATTATAGTACTGTCACTCAGTGCACTGTAAACGCTCACCGGTGAATAATAGACGATGTAATCCAATAACGTGGTCTCTGGTCGTCTTGCTTCTGATCTGTGCATGTTCATGTGTTTTGGAGGAAGGCAATTTGCTGTGAGGGTGCGAATGTATGCTTTCAATGCTAGCAGGCTAAAGTTAGCATTTCCCAGATCACCTATTGCACCTTTAAATGCTCATAATAATGTACTGTAGGTGTTTTGTGACTTGTATGTGAACATGCCTTAAAGTTCCTGACAACTTGAGTCTTGCAGTCAGAAATCCAGTCTCAACTTGTTTGAGGTTTTAGAACGCTGGGGGCTTTGAATTTAATCGTAGTTTTGGTTTGTTCTGTACTGTACTGAATGTGAAGCACTAGAGCTGTCACGATAACTACTTTTTGTTGTGCAATATATTGCACCAAAATTAATTGCGATAAACGATATTATTGTCATTTTCAGACCATTTTATGCCACTGATTACCTATGACAATATAATAGCATTATAATGCAAGTACACTGTTTCAAAGAACATTTATTCTCTTTCTATTCAATATTTAGACATTGTGTACAAAAAATATATCCCAAATAAATAAAACAAGTAGGCCTAAATAAATGCACATTCTTAACAAAAAGGTTTCAGGTATCAAAACAAAGAAATATGTCGATTTAAACTTTTAAAGTGTCTCACACAAAGGCACAGATGCATCAACAGGACATTTCATATTTTTAAATGCTGGTTTTTCGACCGTGCATAATGGCTGCATCTCTTTGGCTAAATAGTAGTGTAGTGCCTGAACGCGTTCATATTTGAGTGAACTGAAGAATGTACTGTATTACTGCCTGATGAACGCGTTCATTCTGGTGTATGTCTGCGAATGCACGCTCTATCAGTTTAAACTCTTACCTTCGTACAATAGGGTGCCGATTTGTATAGAGCCTTCCAGGCGAAAACCCGGCTAAAACACACGTAAACAAGCCTTAAACACCCAATCTGGCAACACCAACCGCGCCGCGGCCACCGTCAACAAAGCAGCGAGTGAGGAGATGTATGATCATTTAAACGGATTTTATGAGGTCAGTGCGGATGGGAAAAAAAATCTCACATTTCTGCGCAAACTGGCCGTCGCTAAAATAATTGTTGTCTGTGGTTGTATGGGCTGTGACAATAACAGCCTAATGAAAAAAGCTCACAACATGGAAAAAAGAACTATAAATTAATTAGTTTTTTTGAAGTATGAGCTATGAACTGAACTAATTCATTTTAAAATGTGTGAACTGAACTTTGAACTAGTTCGTGTAGAAAGTGAAATTTACCAACACTGAGAGTTACGCTATCCGTGAGTGTGCGCCATTTCGCGCTGTCAAGTTTACTGCTATATTTGCACTGTCGGGACGGGAAAATGCATCTGCAACATAACTGTCTGGAAGAAGGCCCCTCTCCAACTCCAGCTGCTGTTGTTGTTCCCAGGTTGAAACACTGGTGGGATGGTTATGTTTTAGGTGCGATTTTAAGTTTGTTGTGTTGCCTCGTCGCGTTGCGACTGTTTTAAAACACAGTCGACATACCCGCTCGTTCACGTTTATCTCTCCTCTCTCGTTCGGCTTAAAGGCAAAATGTTCCCACACCGGAGCTGAAGATTGTGGCTTTGAAATCAATTAATTCCATGTTGGACTCGTTCTTCCTAACTGTCTGGCTCGCTGTAGATGTCACGAGAACACTTTAAAATGCAGTTTTGGTTCACGCCTACTCTTCACCTGCCGGTGTCCGCTCTCTCCCTTTGTGTGTGTGTATGTGGTGGACGCGTGCAGACAAGATGACAGAGGAAGCGCGATCAACTAAAATGCTCATGACATTCATTTTATTGTAAAAATGAATCTAATTATTATTCTTAATAGTAAAACAAATTATCTGTTGCAATATATCGCGGCACCAAAAATGATCGCACTGGTTTCCATATATCGTGCGATAAGTCGATATATTGACTATCGCGACAGCTCTATGAAGCACATACTCTGCTCAAGGGTGAAGTCTATGGTTTTCATCTGATAGCTATGGCGTCACAGCTGATCTTCTTCATTGATAAACCCTATTCTCTTTTCACCTTCACAGGTGCTCTAATGAATTAATCTTCCATCTCATCTATAAACCAGTATACTTCAGTGCCCACAGCGCCCTTCTCTGTCTAATCCTCAGGCAGGTGGTCACCAAACTCACAGCAGCAGCCAGTCAATCATCGAGAAAAACCAGCCAAAGATAAGCTACAAAACGAGAAAACAGACACACACATGCTTATACACAAGCACACTGTAAAAATGATCAATGTACAGTAGCAAGGTTTAAGGAAGGAGGCAGGAACCGGAGAACAATCAAATAAAACTTTATTGAAATGAAATGAACAAACAAAATACCTGCCAGCAGTCCCTCACGGACGACTGCTGGCTACCGAAATAAAATATAACAAAATAGAAACAAAAGCAGGCTTGTTCCTCTCTCGATCATCCACGTCGTCGCTCATTAGCAATCACACCACCTGCCTGTTCGTCACAATCAACAAGTTATGGCAACGTTTTTTTTACATTACTTTAACTCATCAAAATAAGTTAACAAAGTTATACAAGAATCAACTTTTTTTTTTCAAGTCAGTGTAGCTCCTTAACTGTCATGGGACGCCTAACTTTACTTCACTATATTTCAAATAAATCCAAATCTAATTATGAAAATGTATATATCGTTGGAAAGGTCAAAGATTTCTAAATAAATATTCTACCCCTGTTTTGTGTTCAAAATTAAGTAGGAAGAGTACAAGTACAAGAGTACTTTTAGTACAAGAGTGCACCTCAAAAATCGCATTAAATAAATAAATAAATAAATCAATATTTTGTAAAATCAATATTTTATATAAAATAAAAAATATATAGTACAGTATATTTGATTTACTGTAAATTTAAACTTCCATAACTTTTTCATACTTTCATTTGTTTTCACTTCAGCAATAATCTGCTGAGTGTTTTCTTTAAAACAAGACCAAACTTGGGTATATATTCCAAAGCATTCTTGAATTACAACCATTTAAGTGTGAATAGTGCATTTTAACCCCCATTCTCGAAAAGGGGGGTAACAGCTAAGTGTAATTTAACTTAAACATATAATGACTTAAACATCCAAGTTGATTGTACTTAATGTCAGACAGCAACTTTTTTTCAGTGCATAATAAATGGAATACAATTATATCATTTCTATGATGCTCCCAAAATGGCAATAATCTGCATGTCATGTAGCACAGTATAGAAAACACACAGATTATAAACCCAGCTAAACTGTTCACATTTAAAGTATTTTTTATGGAATATTGCAGTATTTATTATGTATGCATGCACATTTTTTTATTCTTGTTTTCTCATAATGTATTTATTCACGATAACTTCCTCTCCCTCTTGCAATCTCTTCTCTGATGATTTGTTTACTGGCGAGAAAATGAGTCATGTCACTCACATAAGATCACAGAAATAGCAACGATTCAATCAAATCTCATTACAATCCTACATTTGTTCTAGTTCTAGAACACTGGGATATATGCCACAATAGGCAAGAAGAGACTATTGCGACTTCCATTTCACGCCGACTACAGTAGAATGACAGGAAAACATTTATTTGTTTTATCAAAATGTCCAAATAGAATATTACCTTGCCCAATTGAATGAGAAAGGCTTTAAATATAGAAAATTAAAAAAATAAAATAAAACATCTTAAAAATAAGTAAATAATATAGTACTAATAATAATTTTCCCAAAAGTCATTGCATTTGTGATATGAGTGGACTGTGATTGTAAGCGACTACTCTGTCAAATGACAAATACTGTCCCGTCACAACGTGTTTTTTAAAGTCCAGTCTGCCAGCTGTCCCAACAGCTGGCCGTTGTAAAAAATTAATATTCTCTAATGATGGCACTATTCTTACAACTCACTGCACATCATAGGGCCACCTGTCATGAATACAGAAGGTCAAGGACACTATACTACTTTATTCTGGATGTGTGCTGTGCATAATTTAACAGATCTAAAGCTGGTAATGTTGTATGGCCATAATGAAGAATTCAAACTACCTAGAAATAATATATGGATAAGAATGTGTATTGGGTGATTTAAAGGGTGTTTTTTGCTTGAAAAAACTGAGTTTGAGTCTCGGCTTAAGATCCTTTCCTTAAGATCCTTTATTAAAGGGAAGAAAGAAAAAAAAACACAGTGCTGAATCATGTAAATCAGGTTTAATTTACACTGTAAAAAAGGGGATGTGATCTGAGCAACTTTTTTTGTGATCTTAACACAAACGGCAGCTAGAAATATATGGTTTCTATGTGTAGCCAATTAGAAATTGGGCCATTCCACTGAATGGGGGACATTTGCTTGTTGTAACTCTTCAAAAATAAACTTAATTTTTTTCTTTTTCAACATTGAATCTAATACTACACATATTTAACTATTCAAAATGTGTATTGGTCAATCTCAGGCAATTTTTTTTCTTTTTTTTTTACAAGGTTTTTCAACAAATTCCTTTGTTTTCCCCACAAGAAAGTGGTTATTTTAAAGAAATTGTCGGTTATTTGTTCAAAAAATTTATATTTGTGCAAATAAAATCACTAAAATAGAAAGTTTTTTTTTTTTCATTTTAGAGACAACCGAAGCCTCATAATAATCATAATATTTCATGGTTAAGTTTAGAGTTGAATGCTAGAAAATGCTATTTTTAGTGTTCTGTGTCGTTTTTAATTATAGGTTTTAAATTTGTAGTTAGCTTAATGTGCATGACATTTTGCTTAATAATAAAATGTATTTAGAGGTAATTTTCATGCAATTTTATACATATAATGTCCTGTGGACAGAAATGTCACCCTTTCCGTGGAATGGCTCAATTACAGTTGACTATTTATATTTAATAAGTCGTTTAACCACAGCATAATTTTCTCTGTAATTTAATTGTAGTTTTTTTTTTTCCTGAACTTTGACTTTTCACTTCGGAGTGAAAATATAGAATTATTTTAGAATTTATTTATTATTATTTCAGATTTTTAACGTAACGTTAGCCTATACAACTTAGCTCACTATGTTTTTAAACACAAAATGTGGAAAAGTGAATAGCAGATGCTCTGCATAAAATAAATGTAATACCTATTACCTATAAAAAAACTGAGTCTTGAGAAAAGAAATCAGTCTTGTCAGAAGTTAAATGTCATAGCCTCCGGTGTTTTGCTTAGCGCATGAGAGAGAGAGAGAGAGAGAGAGAGAGAGAGAGAGAGAGAGAGAGAGAGAGAGAGAGAGAGAGAGAGAGAGAGAGAGAGAGAGAGAGAGAGAGAGTTTGAGACTCGCTGTGGGCTCCGTTGTACACTTCTAATGTTCAGCTCCTATGATGACCACGGAACACACATCACGTTGGAGTGCTGCGCGTGGGATTTGCTTGAGCTGGCTGCACGGACGCTTTTATCCTGATTAAGTAACGGTCGGGCAAACGACAGACAGCCCTTACAGCACCTCAGCCGGCATTGAGCAAGAAGTCAAGGACAATCCAACGATAAAGGGACAGGACGCTTGCTGACTGTTTATTTAGAAGTGCAGTCGAACAGAAACGAAATATCTCCTTCCTGGAAAAGAGCTCGTGCTGAATCACACAGCACCGCAATGCGAATGTCGAGCGAAGAGCCGCTTAAGCCAGCACAACTGCACTTAACATGGGCGAAAATAGAGGAATTAACCGCCACACAAACAGCTGAATCGCGAGAAATGTTCTCGGTTCCCCTTCTAAAGTAAAGCACCGCAGTGAGACAGCGCGATATGGATGTTTTCGACACCATCTAATAATATACAAGCGGTGCATCTATGAGACAGCACGCGGTAATCTAACCGATGAATTATGCACGGCGGAGCATGAAGTATACCGAGGGGTGACGCTCGGTTTCAGAGACCGGCCGGTGCGCCGCTAGCTCTGTCCCACATGACCTACTTTCAAAAAGCTTTAATGCAGGAGAGATGCAGCCGCAGTGAGAAACAAACGAGACCCGTCAGCACTGAAAAACAAGCTCACTGCTTGCTCACATGTGTGACCGAAGTCGTGTGGACCTCAGGTGACATGATCGTCACGGCCGGATCGTTAACTTGCAAGACTTGATCGAGAGCCATCACCTCAGCTATTGTTGTTTTTAAATGATTATATCACGCTGATAATATTCAGGACTTGAACTAACGGGAAAAAAGGGACCCTGGAGCCATTGACCTTTGCACTTGAAACAGCATCGGATTATTTATTTATGCTGAGACCACTGACAATTTCAATACATGCTGTTTGGATTTATATTGAGCCTTGGGATTTTTTTCTTAGCCAAGCTAAGATCTGCACAATTGTGTCTCTGTGATGTCATACAGTTTGATAGTGAAAGGGTAAGCATAAGCAATACTAGTTATTTAATGACTACCTGCAATAGTGTAGTGCTAGCTATAGGCTACATGTAAGCTCAGGAGATGTTTTTTATTTTTAATTATTGAATTTATTTTTCGGTCCAAACATGTGGTCATTGCCCTTAGTACGTCACACTGACGTTCCACAGAGAGTGACTGAAAACTTCATTTTGTCTGGTTATCGCTTCCCTAACTACAGCCTCAGGCAGTGCCTAGCCTCCGCTTTTTGTCCCACCAATGAGACTGGAAACTTCTGGACACACTTTCTCCCCATCTTTGTGTTCGCCTTCCACTTTTTGGAGGTGTTCACGTGGGAAGGAGCGCCAGAACCTAGCAGTCCTTTTTTCTACCCCTTCTGGAACTACTTCCTGGGGGTGTTGTACCTGCTGCTAGCCAGCAGTCTGGCTCATCTTCTCAACTCCATGTCACTCATCATTCGTGAAATCTGTTTCTTCGTAGACTACGGAACTATCAGTGCGTATACGGTGGGTTCCTCGCTGGCATATTACTACTACATCCATCCTCAAGCAGGAATACCAGAAATTGGATTCGGGGTTCAGAACAATTCCCAAAGGGAGAGATTGAACACTGATGAAGAGGCTTGGAACTCTGCATCTTCTCCCACTCTGTTCCAGCTATTCTTTGAAAGCCTGTACATCCCATCCACCTGTCTGGTTGCTATCATATGCGTTGTCACCTGCTGCAACACCAGACAGCGCTGGCGGAAGTACCGATATGCTGTCCGCACCCTCGTCTTCCTCCTTCCGTTTTTCATCTCCTCCGCTCCCGTCTTCTACCGACTCCTGAGTCCCTCCGCAAACGCCGCGTCATCCTCCTCCCCTCATGTGATTTCTACCATGGCTGCCTTCTTCTACCGCCACTGCTTTTGGCTGGTGGTATCTGCCATCTTCAATATCAGTAAAATCCCAGAACGTTTGTCTCCGGGGAACTTTGATATCTGGGGTCACAGTCATCAGTGGTTTCATTGCTGCACTTTCCTCTCGATTTTGGATGAGCTGCAGATGATCAAAGTGGAGGTGCGGGCCCTGCTTCTCAACCCAGCGTTGGTACTATCATCTGTAATGCCACCTAGACTCCCTGGCCCCACATTCTGGTCCACCTATGGGGTCATGGTGATCCTGCAGGGGTGCATAGCGAGCATCATAGCCTTGTTTGGCTGGCAGGCATATCAGATCTTCGCACCAGAGCAAAAAAAGCTTAAGGGACATTAGGAGGCTCCATGACGTTCTGGTCGGGTTTAAAGCTCTCTGTATGCGTTTGGACTTTTTTTAAAACAATGTTATTACAATGTTGATTTCTGCTGTGTAAACTGCTGTCATTTCAATCATAATGAAGGGTTAGCTCACCCAAAATGAAAATTCTGTTGGTAATTACTCACCTTCATGTCATTCCTAACTCTTAAGACTTTCGTTCATCTTCAGAACACAATTCTGAGCGCTTTCTGTGCCTCCATTGACAGAGTACGCATCTACCACTTTCAAGCCTTGGAAAGGTAGTAAAGACATAGAAGAAATCCAGTGGTTTAACCTCAGTTTTATGAAGCCACACAAGTGCATTTGTTGCGCAAAAAACCTCATAATTTACCACCTAATTTACTAAATATTAATCTCCATCATACGTTCACAAGAGCACCATGTGTGTTGTGTGCATGCGAGAGCAGACATTGTTACTTTAATGATGTCTTTACTACCTTTCTGGGGCTTGAAATGTCAATGAAGTGACAGAAAGCTCTCGGATTTCATTAAAACGATCTTAAGGGCTTACGGGTTTGGAACGACATGAGGGTAATTAATGGTAGAAATTTAATTTTTGGGTGAACTAGCCTTTTAAAAGGGATAGCTCACCCATTCATGAAAATTGTGTCATAATTTACTGACCCTTGTGTTGTTCCAAAACTCACATAGTTTTCTTTCCTTTGCAAAGCACAATAAATATAACATTTTTTTTTATAAAATTTTCAAACTGCAAATAGGGCATCAAGTTAGCATGAAATTTTTGCATATGATTACTAATATATTCCAAGTCTTCTTCTCTTCGTATGATGAAGATATCAAATTGTAAGCCTGTAAGTCATTGGCCAGTGGTCCAACATATTTTAAAACAGTCAAAACATTCTTCAAAATATCTCAGTTTGTTCCGCAGAACAACGAAAGAAGTTAATGATGACAGAATTAACATTTTTGGGTGAACCCCTTTAAGTTAAAGTTCTCAATAGGCATTATTTGACGAAAACTGTGACACTTTTACCAGGTTTCATTGTAAAGACTTTTCGAGGGAGGCTGGTTTTTTTTCTTTCTTTTTTGTCGTGTGGTCAAAGTACTTGCCGCTCTGTAATCAGCTGACTCTGCCACATTTGCTCCCCAGGGACTGTACTGTTGAAACTATGTTTGGGTTCTAGAATGTTCTCATAAGTCGGGGTTTAAAACGACGCATTATTGAGCTTTTACTAGGACACCTTACATTGCAACAGTCTTCACAATTGAAATTCTCTATGTCCGTGTTTGTCTATCTCGCTTTTTCTCTCATCCGCCCTCTTACATTTCCTCCCTCTTTTTAACAAACCCTTTAAACAGGAAATGCAGACAAACATGCATAGCATGAGCCAAAGTGTTTGAGGCTAGAGAAATGAGAGGGGTGTGGTTTCACGTTGCTTTACACCACAAACGACACAACCTTTCACAGTTTTAAATGAGCGTTATTTTTTACTTTATATTATCATTACTATCAGTTATAGACCTTAATTAAGATGTGACAGCATAGGTAATAACACAATATTTCAGTTGAAATACTGTATACTGTAACTATGCATTGCTATTGATTGTATACACTTCTCAATGACTTGACGTTTGGTTGAAGGCCTTGGCGGGAGGACTGAAAGGTGAAAAATTAAGCCATATATCATTATTGAAAAACATATCAGCAAGTACTGTTTTTACTGGAGGCCAGTTTTGAAGACACAATGTTGTCTGTGGTAGATATTATCATTATTAACTTCAGTTATACAGCCTTGAGTTGTCTTGTCACTGGTTGAATTTTCCTCAAACCAATCAGATGCTTTGAGTAAGTGGTGCTCTTATGAGAGTGTGTGAAATGTACAGGTTATTTAGTCTGAGAGTATGGTGTGGTCTAACAATATTTGTGAATTTCCGTCGGAACATGTCTTTCTGTGTCTGTGAACGACAAATTGAGGTCGTTGATGAATCAGACGTTGTGTGGCTGTCAAAAACAATGTCATGTCTTTGTTGTTCTGTCCTCATATTTCAAAGTCAGGCAGGCCGAGTAGTTGCAATAGGTGTGAGGAGATATTCTAGCATCTCTTCAATCTTCTGTATTTTGTCATTCATTAATAAGCCTCATACTTCATACTATTTGTATTTTCTGACGAGAGACCATTTATTGATTGCACTTTGTTGCACAAGCATAGAATTCAAATCTAGACAGATTATATGATTTGCACAAACGTTTCTGCGCTAATCTGTGATCTTGAAAGGGAACCAATGTACATTTTTATCATGTTTTAACATTGAGCAGGGCTGTCTACAAATGGATAACTTTTTAAAATCGGAAAGTTACAGCAATTTTGACAGAGCATTGTTGGACCGTCCACATCATGCAGTTCTGACATATTGCTGTCCTTTTGTGAACACCGGTATATGTAGTTATACAAATGTACAGACTAGACCTTATCAAATATATTTGCTCTGGAGAAAACACCAAAATATGAATATTTAATAAGTGTGTGTTTAAAACAGGTTGTTTAGAAATTCTAGTTCTAGTTCGTCTAGAGCAGTTGTAGTTCTCAGGGGAGAAGATAGATTATATTCTTAATGCACTGGAAACTACTGTATGCTGTCTGCCCACTGCTGGAGTGTGAATAAAACCATGGTTTACTTCTGTAGATCATGCTAATATAGGCTTAAATACGAAACTTGACAATACTAGTGTATATTAATATATATATATGGTTTTTGTTCTGTTTCAACTTCAAACTGTATCAAGAGATGAAAACTAGAGATCAATAAATTGAAATGATAAATCAGCTCTGTAAATGGTTTTTATTCATATAATATACGTTTAAATAATTGAACTTGCAAAGAAGTGGTTTGAGTTCAACATTAAGCTGAGAAATCCTTTTAGAGCAGGATGTCATTTGGTTTGCAAGTGTATTTGCATATCCGTGTGTGTGTGTGTGGGACTCTTATTACACAAAACCCCCACCCCACCCTCTACCTGCGTCCGTCTGCTTCTATTGTATATACATGCTTTACAAAATGAAACATCACAACACATGAATTGATCCAGGATATGCAGCTGTGACCTCAGACTGCCAGGTAGACAATAGTGTGGGGCAGATACCTCGAATGTAAAAGCGGAAGGAACTGAGGAATACATTTTCCATTGCTCTCTGTTTTGGCTCTTTTCCAGCTCACTGCAGACACTAAACACAGCACCTTATTCGAGATGTGTCCACTTGATGGAGACATACAGCTGTTTGTTTTCTCTTGGCCTGGAACACTTAGTTCAAGGAGGAAATCCTCTGTGTGTTTTTGCACCTTGTTGTCAAAACATACATGCCATGACATGTTTGTTTTTACAGATACTGTAAGTAGTTAATGGTAGTGTAATAAAAAGTGACAGTAGTGCATCAACTTTTTGTTCAGTTAGTTTTTTTTAAAAGAAATTAATATTTTTATTCAGCAAGGACACATTAAATCGAACAAAAGTCAAGAAACTTCTAGTTTTCTATTTCAAATAAATGACATTTCTATTCATTTGATTTAAAAAAAGTATAATTCCTTCCACAAATATATTAAAATGCAATGATTTCTGAAGCATCATGTAATTCTGAAGCGTCACAAGAATAAATTACATTTTATTGAAATAGGGAAAAAAATGTTGAGAATAAGAGACTAACCACAAACTTTTGAAATATAGTGTAGTTATGAATGAGGTTTATTGTTTAGTATTATTCTGCAAATACACTTATCAAAGAAAAAAGTTATTTATAATCAGTTGAGTTATTTATGCTTTTGGGCATACCTCAGATATATTTTACCATCTTTAATTAAAGGAGCAATATAATTTATAGTGAATACATTGTGTCATATAAAACTGTTTGCATAGTACATTTAACAGAGCTAATAATCTAATAATAGAAACACAATAATCATAAACTGGCAAATGTCACCTTGTACTTTATACCCTGAATATGACTGAGCGATTCAGTTATGACCCATAAAACACTGCAGATTTCTGAATCTTCAGTTCTCCTGGCATTCGAATATTGACTCTAACTCATATACTGCACCTCCAGATATATAAAAAGATGCTAAATCCATATTAAGGATTTTGTTGATTCAATTAGTATTTTCCCTGCCTGACTTTGATGTTATGATTAAAACAAACCAGAGTGGGATTGTAGTCAGTGTTTGTGAGGTCAGCATGTTTTCTTTGCAAGGTTGGCTAGTGCTTTGTCATGCACTGTCTTATGCTGAAGGGCAAAGCTGGATGGGGTCAGAACGCCAAGGCCTTCGTCATTCACCTGGCCCATCAGCACATAGTTCACTCCTATGAAGTAAATTCACAATGATTATTAAACTATTAAGGTCAGTGAAATGTTCAAAAATAATAGCCAGTGACACATTCTTAAATGTCGTACATGTAATAGAAAATGAGTCATGCAAGACTGCTTGTAGTAGGTGTGTGTGTGTGTGTGTCTGTTTTCATGTTTTTCTATCCCATTAGGGACTTCAACCAGTCTCATGGTGACTTGTGTCACTGTGTGGACCTAAATTGAGGTACCCCTGAGGAAACAAGCTTATAAATCATACAAAATGTTATTTATTTTTATTTTTGGGGGAAAAAATGCAGAAAGTTTAGTGTGATGGGTAGCGTTGGTGTAACGGGAGATAATATACAGTTTGTACAGTATAAAAACCATTACGTCTAAGGAGACTCCCCACAACAACAGTGAACCAGACGTCCGTGTGTGTGTGTTTCGTTCACCTTTACGCAGTGCTGGACACTTCATACACGTAGCTGTCAGTGTGGCAGACGTGGTGGGTCCTCTTTTTCTGAAATGAAGTCTACCTGCCTTATAGACCTTTATGACAGACACCTCAACTTCAGCACTGCCTTGAGATCCTGGGGTCACTGATGTCACTTTACCAGTCAACACTGTGGGAGAAGCAGAGAGACAAGTTGCTTTGTTTTCCAAATGCATGCTTCTGATTCCAATACAAATATATATATTTCTTAGTAATAAATAATTATAAATATTCCTTATTAAAGAAATTGAACATTAAACGTGTGATTGTTAAAGTAATTAAAAAAAAATATGAATATTGTTATTATGGTAACACTTTACAATAAGGTCCATTAGTTATTAGTTAAAGCTACACTGTGTGATTTTTAGCGCCATCTAGCGGTGAAAAGGTATATGACCATCCAGTGAATATTAGTTTCTGTTCCTATCAATTCCGATTTCGTTTTAACTCCTACGGTGGCCAATGTAGTCCAAGATTAACATGGCTTCCAGTTCGACCTCGTCCATGAGTGTTAACTGAAACGTAAACGCGAAAGGCGAAGCTTGAATTAACGGGTATGTCCCTCTTTGGCTAATGTACTTTCAAAATGGAGGGGCAACATGGCGACTGACATTAGAACCCCTTACCCGTATGTATTTTCAATGGCATATTATACACTCACGAGAATACTTTATTACTTGAGCGAAGTAAATATACATTAATGAACACATATAATTTTGAAAGAACTAGAAGTTTTTAGCTAAGAATAAACTAAAAGAGTTACACAGTGTAGCTTCAACTAAATTAGTTAGCATGAACTGCACTTATTTCAACATTTACTAGATTATTCAGATCTTGTTAACAGTTAATGCACTGTGAACTAACATGAACAAACAATGAATGACTCTATTTTTATTAACTAGCCTTAACAAATATGAAGAAATACTGTAACAAATGTATTGCTCATTGTTAGTTCATGTTTGTTAATACATTAACTAAGATTAACTAATTAACTTTATTCTAAAGTGTTACCGTTATTATTCTAGCTTTGCATCTTGACTGTTAGTGTAGCTATATTTGCTGTAAGCACTGCTCTAAGGTTTTCTCCATCATTACGATGGGAACAGCTGGCTGCACTAGAAGCCTCAAATCTTCCTGTGAGTCTGCAGAAAGCCCCAGGGGTCCGTGTCTGTGACAGGCAATTAGGGGAGAATGAAGCAGACAGAAATAGCAGAATAAAAGAGACATAAATGAAGCAACTCACCAAAATGACTGGGGCAGAAGCGGGTCACGAGAGTGCCTATTCTCTTGCATGGTTGGGAACACAGTGGGCTGCCCACTGGGGCTTGAAAGAAACCGATAAAATTATAAACATAAATATGTAGTCTAGCACACGCAAGGATATATATATATATATATATATATTATTATTATTATTATTATTATTTTTTGCTCTGTCACACAAATAAGCATTAGTACCTGCTTTTGTTGTTTTGTTCCCAGGTTTTGCAATGGGATTGGTCTTTGGCTTTGCTGTTGGTTTGACACCAGGCTTTACTTTTGGCTTTGCCGTAGTACTTGTTGGTTTTGGCTTAGGTGTAGGCTTCGTCGCAGGTTTTGCGGTCACTTTTACGGCAGGTTTTGGTGAGACTCTAGAACCAGATCTTGTTGTAGGTCTGACTGGTGTGGGCTTTGATCTTGGCTTAGGAGTTGGTCTGGGTGGTTTAGGTTTAGGTGGTCTTGAGGGAGCTTTTGGTGTCGGCCTACTAGGCTTAGTTTTAGGTTTAGGTCTGGCTGGTTGAGAAGTGGGTTTAGTAGGTATTATGTCGACTCTTGGCCCATGTACTGTGTCAAGGCTAGCAGTGGCTGTGCGGGAGCTTCTGGGAATACTCCTGTAGTGAGCCATGAAGCCTGAAGCCGTCACACTCAGATCCGATACAAAGTGCACCAGCAACTCATTTCCATTGGTCACAACCACACTGACAGAGATATAAAGAGCATTATTACAATTATTTCAAATAACAATTACAGAGTGCTGCAGGAATGATTCCTAAAACTCGGATACAAGTTAGGATTTTTGAACTTCCGGATCCATCGCTCCAACCTCAATGGGTTTTATTGGATGTGTTTTTGGTTAAATGCCTGAAAAAAGTTCTGTGGTTAACCCAAGCTCAAGATATTTTCAGGTTTTATTTAATGACATAACATTTTAAGCGTTTACGTATCCTAAAAAAGCTTGCTGAATGGGACTACAAAGGTTGTAGGAGCATTAAACATCATACCAAACAGGGGTGCGTTTCCCAAAAGCATTGTTCGCCAACTATGGTCGCAAGTTCCATGAAACTTTATTGGTAAGATCGGGACTTATAGTTGGCTTTGGGAAACGCCCCCAAGGTAAACTTATCTACGCACGCACTCATCCACTTTTATACTCTCATTGTTATATTTGTGCGTTTGCAAACTTACAAGTTGTGTTTATTTTTTTTTTTCAATTATTTTTAATTCACTGAACGTGTAAGGTGTAAGAATCATAAACGTTCGTTGGTCATGGAGCTTACTTTCTGCAATAACCCAAAAGCCAATAGAAAAATCATAATGGCTTTTTGTTAGCCAGGGAACCATGGTGATGCTTCTGGGCTGGCCTATGGAAATATGCCATCACTAGTAGAACTCTATAGATTCAATTATTTCTATTATAGCAGCAGTCTTAAAGGTGCGGTCAGACATTTTTTGGTTTTGTTTATATCTTTAGTTGTTGCATCCTAACTCATGCGTTTTTTTTAACATCTTACAACATTAGTGCTGTGTTTTTAGGGTAGCATGTCCTAACAAAATCTCAATACATCTTGCATTTTGAACACAAGAACATGTTTTATGTGTGCCCTCCCTTTAAGAAACGCATCTAAATGAGATCTGATGAATCTGAAAAAAGCACAAAACACACGGATTCCTTCCAAGATCGATTAGCTGACTGTTGAGGCAACCAACCAACCAATTTTAAAGAAATGTTGCACACACCTTTATGTTATGTTACGTCATGGCAGTTGTCTTGGATTTATGCTGCCACCTAGTGGTGAGGATGCAGCATCATGGAAAGCAATAGTTTTCCCCCCTTTTCCTATTGCATATCAGATCAGCATGATGTTTATTTTACTGAGCATATAAAGACCCGGTTTCAAGGACAGGGCTTAGATTAAGCCATGATTAGGCCTTAGTTCAATTTGGACATTTAATTCGATTTTATAAACATGCCTTAGAAAAACAAACAAACAAAGAAAAAACATTACTGGTGTGCATCTTGAGACAAAACAATGACACTGACATATTGTAATATGTACAAGTTGCTTTCAATTAAATCAGCTCAACCATGCTTTTTAGTCTGGCACTAGCTTAATCATTGTCTGTGAAATCAGTGGAAAGTGCTTAAATAGGCCTGAAACCGTGTGACAAGTGCAGCTCATACTGTTGCCACATTCAAAACTGTAGCTCCTTCCCTTGACCTTCACTGATCAGCAGGTTCAATATGATTAGTGGTAGGTGTAGGGAAGGACTTTATGAAAAGGGATCAGTAAGGTCACAATAAGGCAGCTTTTATTTATGATTCAAAATGTTACTATTACTTACTGTTTTATAAAGTACTACAATATTCTGAGGTGCAAATAGTATTTTCCTCTTTTTGAGCTAAGTATAAATAGCATCTAACACTATTTTTTACACTTATTTCATTACTACAGAGCAATGAAAAAAATTTAATATCCAACATTATCAGGACTTGAATAAAGGGCTTCATGGACCTTCCGAAGTACAAAGGTTATATTTTGGAAGAGACTGAATGTGCAAAGAGAAAGCATGTCCTAATTGGGAAGCACATTCTTCCACTATAGCTTCCCTTAGGATGACTGACCTTGAAGAAAACAACAACATCCTTTTCCTGTGTAGATAGATAACAATTCTCTGTCCTTAGAATGAAGTTTGGATGAAGTTTGAAGGACTCAATGTTGTTGTGCATGAATAGAGTTTGTACTCACTCTGGAACCATGTCTCCACAGAATTTGCCAATACGTCGAGAGTCATCAGTCTCTCCCCCGTTGAACAGGGCCACGTAGTCATAACGACAGTATGTGTCTAATTCCAAGTCCAGCTTCTCAAACTTAACCTCAATCACCTGGACACACACACACACACTTTGTTTTTCATGTTTTATGTGGACTTTGCATAGACGTAATGGTTTTTGTTACAAACTGTATATTCTCTCCTCTTACACTAAACACTTTTACATTTTCAAAAATATCACAGTATGTTTTAAAAGCTGTTTTTCCTCATGGGAACCAAGAAATGTCCCCAAAAGGACAATGATTTTGGATATTGCCATTTTTGTGGGGATATTTTGTCCTCATAATGTTTACACACACACACACACGTTTTATGGAGACATTCCATACATTTTGTTTTGGAATTATTATTTTTTTTTTATTATTAAAAAAAAAGTTTCATGCATCAAAATCTCATAGCAGCACATCTATAGTAAAGCTACAGTAAATATGATTCCGTCTCTGATGCCTTAATGGTTGTTAACTTAACAGATTGAGAGTAGATGAGACAAATGCAAGAGAAAAGGAGCTGTGAATTGATATTTGCTGGCTGACCATGTCGGGCTCCACAGATATGTGTCAAGAACTCTACACCTTGCTTTATTTAGTGTAAGCGGTTCTACGTGTATGCAAATTAGCCCCGCCTCCAATTACTCACACCAGCTCAGAGATCCACTTGTTGACGATCACATGTTGATGTGATTGGTTACAAGGTAGTTTGTGATGTCAGAAACAGCAGCTACATATATAAACAACGCATAATACTTGAAGCTACCTTAAGCGGTCCGTTGTAATGCAAGTATACTGATAGCCTACTAGTTAAATACTTGTAGCACATTTATTGGTTTATTAAAGTAGGCTTTGAAGCATCTTAATAAGCACGTTTACTGCACTTTGATTCTTCTCCTTATTTCACTATAGCGGCTAATAAATCAGAATTCACAGAAAACACCTTCCGTGTTGAAAAATATAGTGGATACTCTTAGTAAAATAATAGTTTAGTAGTTTTATACTGCAAGCATACTTAAAAGTTTTAATATCATACTTATAATAAACTTTAAAAAAAAAAAGACTTTTTACGGTCACACTTTAGATTAGGGCCCAATTCTCACTATTAACTAAACTGACTATGACTGTTGCCTCAATAAACTCCTAATTACTGCTTATTAATAGTTATTAAGGTAGTTATTTTTTGCACTTAAAGTATATGTTACAATTTAACTATTAACTTTTATACTTGAAATACTTTAACTCTTTCCCTTCCAATGTGTTTTTTTGCCAGTTGCCAGCCAGCACCAGCAATTTTTATTATTTTAACACAAAAATGTCATGGCCCCTAGAAAATTATTTTGTACGAATATCTGAACATGCAATATATCCAAAGAAATAACCTACTTCTCGACCACCGTAAATAACAGAGGCTCTGCTAAAATAAATAAATAAACAAACAGTTTATTCTAGCTTCAGGCTAACTTTTTTTTATCAACACTTAAAAAACGTTTAAAAAACCCACATTGAACAAAAAGCAGAGAAAATCCTATTTTTGTCAAAGACTACGGGTGCGTCTCAATCAGTTCCCTAGCTTCCTATCAGGTCATGAATCAGTCATGAATCAGTATATCATGTAAATTCAGGCACTGGTAAGGACAGTAAGGACCCTGGCTCACTACACTGACTCTATTTCCGGTGACGTGACATCATCCTCATTGTACAACATCACTACTGGTATTTATGAACAACAGCAGAACTGATATCTTTCTGATATCATTTGATAATTTTAATAAAATTACATTACAAATGTTAGTTAGATTACCTGATGCATATGCTGTAATACAATTAAATAATGGTTTGTATTATGAAAATCATCTATCGAGTGTCGTTATGTGTAGTGAGTTAGCACACATGATTTATGTTTCGTGCTTTTATGCTCCCTGGTCTTCACGGTGCATTGTGGGGATTTTAAGCGAACGTTTTCTGTGCACTGGTAGGATTTTGCGATTGAATGAGTCCTTAAAGGGTAACTAAACCATAGATATGTATATAAAGGCTAGATATGTCGTCCACGCTGCTGGCCAATGGAGATCTTGTCACAGGTAGCTCGCTCACTCGTAACATTGTGTTAATGGTACATGTACTATTTAAATGACCATAACTTGCTCAATTTTCAACCGATTTTCAAACGGTTTGTTTTGTTATAAACGTCAGAGATGTAGTTATGACATTGCATACTTATGAATAAAAAGTGTATAAATAAATAATCATCCAGATAATTATAGCCACGTTAATAACGTTTGTAAGAACCCAAACCGTTTGTAAATCTGTCAAGATTTCAACGAGATAAGAGTATTTGTGTTCGTGCTGACCACTCATCTTACATCAGCTTGTCTGTGACAAGACGGTGATGACGATGGAAACTCCGCCATAACACATCTAGCCTTATACATATCTATGAACTAAACCCCTGGTCAGAGCCTGACTCCACCCACTGGAAATATTTGAAAATGCTGAAAAAGTGGGCTGACCCCAGCGGAGATATAGGGGACGAAATAGATGCTAAAACACTCAATCCTGATTGTTTTCAATACTCACAATTCCAATTCCTGACTCCCTACAGTGGTTTTAACGACACAAGATGATTTTTATACTGCCAAGAGCTTAGCTCGCGTGATGAGCTGAAACCTGCGTACGTCACGAAGTGCGGAACATCCAATAGGAAAATTCAACCGCAGTAGCCACCGTTCAACCTGAAGAGGGCAGCACTAAGACGTTTTTACACCATATAATGTAGAATATAAACGCTTTATACACAAATGTCAAAAAAGTTACTCGAATCAATGACTGGTATTAATAAAGATCCATTCTTACAGATCATTAACTAAAAAAAAGTTGGTTTAGTGTTTAGTTACTCTTTAAAATGGCCGACTCCCTGATCAGCGCCCTGACTACTGAAGTGGGGAGTCTGGGTCGGAATCAGAACAGGGTAGATCGCAACCATCAATACCCCCAAAGCTTGCACAGTCATCCATATCGGTTTTCCTAATAAATCAATATTTTCAAACAATGTACGTTTTTAAGAGTATGCAAATCTGAAACGTATTGCTAATTTTATGTAAGGGCTGTTTTCCGCATGGGGAGATGAGAGAGATTTCAGATATTACCATCAACGTGGG